CTAACGGACAGAAACTGTTCCAGATGCCACTCCCATCGTGTTTTCCACACCGAAAACAGCACCAAGCTAGAGAGGAACCAATTATCTTATGCAATTGCCATAAGTGTGAGTTCTGAACCAAACAAAAACACAGAAAAACTGAAACGAAGAATATTACATAAAAATACATTTATTTTTACACATCGTTGTTAGTGTAGTGTGTAGTCTAAATAACAAAACAAACAACAACAATTAAGAGAATTAAAATAAATATAAATTAATTATTTACAATTAATAATGTCGCTGAACTGTGAAACAATTGTTAAATGTTAAATGTATGAATACGAATCAAATAAAAACGAAACAAATAAACTATTTAGTGCGTTTTGTGTTTAAGACTTACTTTTTTTTAAATAAAACACAGACATGTTTATGTCTTTTGTGTAGTGGATTTGTATTTTTTTTAGCTTGCGTTACTAAAAAATTAGAGACAATAAACATTTTTTGGTCTATCATTTTTTTATATCAACAACATTATATGTATTCTTAACTACTAGAAACTGAATAATTGAAATCCCAAAAAGAATGTTATAGAAAGCGTAACTGTAATAAAAGTAATTTCAAGGCCGCCCGAAAGCTTGCAATCACTTTTTTAATAAACATTAATATATATGTATATTTTAATAAAAAGATAAAAGTCCCATTTTAAGTTATAATTTTGGCTATCAAAAACATATATTTAAACACACATATTTTAAGGTTTTTTGTTGTAACTTTGCCAAAATAAGACTTACAGCCAAAAGAATGACTGTTTTGTGAAGCTGAGAACATATACAATCAAGTCCAGGTGGATTTGCTAAAAAATTTTTTTTCATCGATTTTGTCATTTTTTATAAGGGGTAACACTTGATTTTTTTTGAAAATTGGACAAAAATTAAATTTTTTAGCTGAGAATACAAAAAGATTGAAAATTTTATAACGAATCCAACGAGGTATGACATTCCAAGATCTGATTATTATTTCCAATGGTTTTGATCTAAAAACCGAAAAAATTAAGCTTTTTTTCGGATTTTGGCCATTAAAAACATATATTTTAAAGTTTTTTTGTTGTAACTTTGCCAAAATAAGACTCACAGCCAAAAGAATGACTGTTTTGTGAAGCTGAGAACATATACAATCAAGTCCAGGTGGATTTGCTAAAATTTTTTTTTTCATCGATTTTGGCATATTTTATAAGGGGTAACACTTGATTTTTCTTGAAAATTTGAACAAAATAAAATTTTTTAGCTGAGAATACAAAAAGATTGGAAATTTTATAACGAATCCAATAAGGTATGACATTCCAAGATCTGATTATTATTTGCAATGGTTTTGATCTAAAAACAGAAAAATTAAGCTGTTTTTTCCGGATTTTGGCCATTAAAAACATATATGTAAACACACATTTTTTAAGTTTTTGTAACTTTGCCAAAAGACTACAAAAGATTGCGTTACTAAAAAATTAGAGACAATAAACATTTTTTGGTCTATCATTTTTTTATATCAACAACATTATATGTATTCTTAACTACTAGAAACTGAATAATTGAAATCCCAAAAAGAATGTTATAGAAAGCGTAACTGTAATAAAAGTAATTTCAAGGCCGCCCGAAAGCTTGCAATCACTTTTTTAATAAACATTAATATATATGTATATTTTAATAAAAAGATAAAAGTCCCATTTTAAGTTATAATTTTGGCTATCAAAAACATATATTTAAACACACATATTTTAAGGTTTTTTGTTGTAACTTTGCCAAAATAAGACTTACAGCCAAAAGAATGACTGTTTTGTGAAGCTGAGAACATATACAATCAAGTCCAGGTGGATTTGCTAAAATTTATTTTTTCATCGATTTTGGCATTTTTTATAAGGGGTAACACTTGATTTTTTTTGAAAATTGGCCAAAATTTAATTTTTTTAGCTGAGAATACAAAAAGATTAAAAATTTTATAACGAATCCAACGAGGTATGACATTCCAAGATCTAATTATTATTTCCAATGGTTTTGATCTAAAAACCGAAAAAATTAAGCTTTTTTGTCGGATTTTGGCCATTAATTTAAGCACACCTTTTTAAAGTTTTTTTGTTGTAACTTTGCCAAAATAAGACTCACAGCCAAAAGAATGACTGTTTTGTGAAGCTGAGAACATATACAATCAAGTCCAGGTGGATTTGCTAAAAAATTTTTTTTCATCGATTTTGTCATTTTTTATAAGGGGTAACACTTGATTTTTTTTGAAAATTGGACAAAAATTAAATTTTTTAGCTGAGAATACAAAAAGATTGAAAATTTTATAACGAATCCAACGAGGTATGACATTCCAAGATCTGATTATTATTTCCAATGGTTTTGATCTAAAAACCGAAAAAATTAAGCTTTTTTTCGGATTTTGGCCATTAAAAACATATATTTTAAAGTTTTTTTGTTGTAACTTTGCCAAAATAAGACTCACAGCCAAAAGAATGACTGTTTTGTGAAGCTGAGAACATATACAATCAAGTCCAGGTGGATTTGCTAAAATTTTTTTTTTCATCGATTTTGGCATATTTTATAAGGGGTAACACTTGATTTTTCTTGAAAATTTGAACAAAATAAAATTTTTTAGCTGAGAATACAAAAAGATTGGAAATTTTATAACGAATCCAATAAGGTATGACATTCCAAGATCTGATTATTATTTGCAATGGTTTTGATCTAAAAACAGAAAAATTAAGCTGTTTTTTCCGGATTTTGGCCATTAAAAACATATATGTAAACACACATTTTTTAAGTTTTTGTAACTTTGCCAAAAGACTACAAAAAGATTGGAAATTTTATAACGAATTTAAAGAGGTATGACATTCCAAGATCTGGCCATTATTTCGCATGGTTTTGATCAAAAAACCGAAATAAAAGTTTTTTTTTTGTGAAAAATCGACTAAAAGTAAATTTTTTTAACGATTTTTCCCCTCTTACTGCTATTAATAATTGTGAAGTCTGTAAGTTGATCGCCTACAGTAAGGCACGCTTATAAGCCATTCATTCAAGGCTTGAGACTTTTTGTTCATGTGTCAATATCATATTCACTTCTGTTAGTTGATTTTTTTGATTTTTCACAGTCTTCAAATTGCAAAACAAACAATACAAAAAGCGCCGAGGAGCCAAGAAAATTTATTGCAATGGCAATTATGCAGACGCAGTCCTCGAACATATTTGCACTTCATGCATTGACCACTTCAGCTTGTTTATTTTTGGACAGGGCATAAGTTGGTTTCTACACAAAACTAAAAATATTGATGGTTATTAAGGTAGATTTGGTTTTTAACCAAACAAAAACAGTCATGAAAGGTGATGAAGTCATTCTTACTTTTTTGAATAAGGGAGAAGAATATCAAAGTCATATTTTTTTTTTTTTTTATAAAGTAAATCTAATATGGGCTTAATATTTTGCTGTGCACTCGTTTGTGTGGCAGGTAACGCCTATTACATAAATATTTTTCTGTTGTCTGTCTGCATAGTGTTGATTTTTATGCTTGGGCAATTAAACAAAATGTACGTACATAAAGTAACAACATGCGTCTTAGTTAATTAGACTGCCAGTCGTTAAAGGGGGCGTGGGGAGTTAGTCTATATGTCAACCCGACCGGAGTTATGCAAAATGTACATAAGATATGTTTATGCAAACGGTCGTTGGGGTTCACTGGGCAGCATTGTTTTTTTACCTCAAATATACTCGACGTATCGGCATTTGCAGTTACCTATGGTAATTACGAGTGTAATGAACCTGATAACTTGGTTAACTTGGGGGTCAACTATTCCAATCTGAAACCATTTAGATTTTATAAATAATGTGCAACGAAACTAACTAAAATAGTAAGAAACAAATTTATATTCATTACTTAAATAACTACTCGATATCAAATTAATAAGTGTAGGCTTCACTTTTGGAATATAATTGATTTTGATATTATCCAGGGCTTTTCGGTTGAAGTGTTTGTTATGCCATACTTTGAGCACTTTGGTCTTTTGTGCAGATCACTTGATCATAATCTCCACTGTATGTAGGCGTCAATAAACTGCCATCTCAAGTAAAATGGTTTTTTATCTTGTGTTTTATGAAAATCAAATAAAAACAAAATGAGACAAAGCCGCCCTGAAGCAACCTTTCACAATGCCGCAAAAATGTGCCAAAAAAAAGAAAATTACAAAAAGCCTGGCCCCAGAAGACAAGACCCAGCCAAAGTGCGCCAATTTGAGTCGGAGATGACGTTAATGGAGCAGATGCCAACAGCCGGTCTCAGTTTCAAGCGCGGCTCAATGGAAAGAGAGTGCGCAGCTACCGGAGCAAAGTTACGTGATTTACTGTACACTCAAGAAAAAGTTTGAACAAATAAATAAGAAGGTTAGACTACACTTTGTCCATCTTAAACTTAACTAAATGGCAATGAAATTAATATTAACAAGTATTAATATTAAAGTAATCTACAAATTCAGGCAAGTCTCTTAAAAACGTTTAGATTTAAATTGTTATTTGGATCAGTGTCTCTCCATTTAAGAACTACAACATTTTTTTTTTAATTGTATTTTTAAGATAATAATGTAAGAATAATAATAATAGTAATGTAAGAATATACAATAAATTACATTGAAGTTATGTAGAAACTTATCAATTTTCAATAAATCAAAATGGATTTTGGTTTTACATAAATATCGAAGCTAACTGGAAATCCGCAAGCCTCAAGGATCTTTTAAACCAAAGTTTTTAATTACCCAGTTTAATAATATGAAATAATATTTGTTTTAGCAGCCCCGTTTTTAGTTTTTAATAACAAAACTAAGTGGTCTTCAATAGGGTTGTACAAGGAGTGTAAAAGTCTAGAAACCACAATTTTTCGCAGTGCATGGCTCAGCTTTCCGCTAAGAGCGGGTCTGCGACTGAATTTTAGCGCGTGTTGCACGGCCGAAACCACTCTCCATTTCAATTCCAGCTCAGTTGCCTTGCAGACGCGCTTCGGACAAGTTGTCAATTGAAAAACCGTGTGGCACTCGCAGAGGAATTCGAATCGTATCGAATCGAACCGAAAATACGTTAGTTTAATTATGCCATTCGTATGTGCGTTGTGTTGGTTTTTTGCCCAGAAACCGAAATTACACTACCCAAAATAGCAACAGACAATTTTGAGTCCACTAACTTTCATTTTTATGCGATCCGAAATTTCTGCGCGATGTTTGCCCAGTTTATTAACAGCAATTTGGGAAGTTAGCGTGTAAATGAATTTTACAGCAATAAAAAAAACGACGAAAGAAGTCAGAAATCAATCAAAGCCAAAATGAGACAAGGCCAAACTGTAAAAGCCAAACAAATATAAATAAATAATACCCACGAAAAAAAACCCAACCAAAACGAAGACAAGGCGAGCTACGTAGTTACCTTTAAAAATAACAGCAACAATACGAAGCTCATTGAACAAAAGTGAGAGTGATTTCCAAACCGCTGTGTGGCTGTTAGCTGCTATGGATTTTTGTATTTACGCTTTTATTTAAGCCAGACCCAAACACATCGCTGTGTGTGTGTGTGTGTGAGTGTGTTTGCATATCGCGTCGGAATCGAAATCGCGTAAACAAAAGCGACTAACGAAAACTTGGCAACAGAAATATTTCAAATATTTATCCAAATGACGCACCTGCCGTCGAGCAACTGACCAACCTCAAAGTCGCAATCAAGTTTTCTGAATGTTGCGCAAAAGGCTCAAGTGTTTGGAAATTCTGCAAAATCGCTGGCAATGCTGGCAAAAAAAAAATAGTAATCATATCTGTAGTAACATGAAGTAATCGCCTGTGTAATTGCAGTTTCTGTGGCTCCACATAAATGCTGACTGCTGGTCATGTCTTGGCCAAAACAATGGGGCTACGCTAGCCTCTGGCTGCCTTTGCTGATCGGCCTGCTATACAGTAAGTTAATGCCTCCGAAATCGGTCGATTGGTTAGATCTTTCGGCGCCTTATAACCGGTCCAACGACTTTAACCGATCCGGCGACAGTCTCTCTCGATCTCGAGTGGCTCTAACTCGGACCGCAGAGCAGACTTTGGCCAAGTCAGGCACCCTGAGCTCCAACTTGTTGCCGGTCTTTGTGTCAAGGTCGCCGGATCGCCGCAGATGTTGTTTGGCCTGTGGATCGTCTATGGGTCGTTGTCGTTAGTTTTCGTTTTTATTGCGGTGCGGATTAGAGTTACTTAATCGTTCTTGATCAAATTGCTCCAAGACCGAAGTACCTCAGGGTAAAGTCTCTAAGTTATTTCATTTCAATTTATTACTGGTTGCTTTTATAGATCATAAAACGACGTTCAGACGACCAAAGTGTCAAATATAACCTTGTACTTTAATTGGAAATTATTCGTTTTTATATTTAAGGGACAATATTTCCATTTTGATATAGATACATATATTTTTAATAAAATGAAAACTGAACAATGTGCAAATTGTAGTTTACACCTTTTCATAAATTTTAAAAATGATGTGAACACATTTTTATACTTAAACATCATATTTTTTATATTATCAATACGATTTTCTTTTGCTCTACATTTTAAAACGACCTTCAAAGGGAAACGAAGCCTAAAGCCGTAAATATATTAAGCATACGCATTGTTAGTCATGTGTAAGTCTGAAAACACAAAGCCATAAAAACCACAAAAGTTACATAATCCACCCCGAAATAAATAAACTGGTCTAAAATTTACATAAGTGCTGGGGCTCGGCCGGCAGATGAGAGATAAAATCATTGGGCACACCAAGTCAATTAAATATTGTATACTTACAGCCGAAAATGCATCCGCTTTCATTGTGCCAAGGGAACTACCGTCCATATTATCCATAGTTTACTCCAATATACCACCGATTAAGAAGGGTAAGATGAGGTTAATTTATTTCGAACCTTTTATTAAATGACATGTTCATTAAAACAGGAACCGATTCCCGGTTGGGCTTTGGTTTTCGCCTGGGCGAGCATGCCGACTTTCAAGTGATGGTGGAATTGGGTCCCCAGAAGGAAACCCGTCCCATTGGGGAACCCAACCAGGATGATCAATCGTTTAACAAGCGGCAGGTGAGCCAAAGCGATCAAAAGGCCCTGGCACGCCAACTTTACCGCCAGCAGGTGAAAAAGGAGGCCGAGAGATTAATGACCTCCACGGAGAAAAATGCGGCCAGCTGGCTGGAGACTTGGTCGAATGGAATGAAACCGCAAAAGCCCAAATCAAAGGACCAGGCCAGAAGGCCAGTGAAAGAAGAAAGTTCGGCTGCTAGTCATCAGTATACGCAACCGCAATCTCAATCGCAAGATCCCTCGAATGCCATGCAGCAGCTGCAGTTGCTCTACCAAATGGCCACCAGTTCCAGCACCACATCCACTGCGGCTCCTCCTGCCTTCACGGGTGGTTCACTCAACTTAGGGGGTCCAAGTGGCTTCAAGCTGCCACCACCGGCTCTCTCCCAGGATACAAATTCCCTGAGCAATCCAGCTCCCCTCAAGAGTCAAAGTGAGATCACCAAGGAGCTAATGGATGTCAGTCTGGGAACAGACACTTAGGTTGTGTGCATATCTAGTTACTAATTAAACTTAGGTGCTTAGCGAATCTGTGTGTAGTATGGCTTAGCTATGTTTTTGTAAATAAAATTTAAATCTAAAGTTAAGTTAGCGAAATGTTTTATTCAGCCTAAGGATAGGCAACAAAAAGTTAACTAAAGTAAAGATCAAATTATGTCATGTAATATACATGCACATGTACATGTAGAATTGTATAAATGTAAAATATTTGTCTAATAAAACATTGTAACAAATTAAGTTAAAAAACGTTAAAAATGTTGTATTGCAGTTTTTGAAGTGTTAAGGTGAGTTAATTTTAAAATCATTTAAAATTTACGTAATTAGATGTCGATAGGTCAAGTTAACAGCCACTTAGTAGATCTAAAAAAACTATAGGTTTCAAATATATATACATGTATATTCGGATGATTAAAATTATGATTTAAATCTAGATCAAAGCATATTTTTCCAGCAATGAATACTTTATCGCTTCCTCCCACCATAGAATGTATAGGAAAATTGAAAAACTGTTTCTCTTTTTTCTTTCTGAGTTACGCTTTATTATGAACTTAGAAAATGTTTAAATTAATTACATAAATAATAAAGTATAGTACAAAGTTACACGTTTTAATCAACTTATCTACACTATCGGCATATCTGTATATATTTCGCTACTTGCATAAGTATTTTGTTCATCTAAGCTAGACAATAGTTAGGGCTACGTTATAAATTAAACGAAACATATAGGGCACAGCAGCTGATCAGGATAAGGTCCTTCCATCAGCCAGCTGTGCGCTCTGTGGACATACAGAATACTATAAATCATCTAGGCTACATATATAATTAGATATATATATGCATACAGTTACAGTTGTAGGCATAGGATCTAAAGTAAATATTACTTATAAATATAGTCAATTTCCATTAAGCAGACCGGTGCATCGGTGTACAGTGTTTGTTGTGTGGTTTTTTGTATGGGTATGAGATGTTTGTGTATGTTTTTTGTGCGAAGAAACCTTGCAGTATCTATAAAAATAATGTCTTTCATTTCATGTTTTTCTCCGTGCTGAGTGTCTGGTGTTTCCTCGTAACCAATTCCTGACCAATCGTTTGGCAAATGAAATCCTCCTAAATCTCAAAGGTGCAGTAGCAACTACTATAACTTGTGCGGATGAAGTGGTGGGATGCTCGATATCTGCAACTCGGCTTTCATTTCCTTCCTCTGATCAGGAACAGTAGAAGCACCGACTGAGGCTCACTAGCGAAGCGGATTCACTTGCCGTTCTTGAGCGGCACACCCTCCTCCTGGGTGACATCGCTGATCTTGACGCGCTCTGGGGGATTGTTCCAAGGCTGCAGTTCTCCCGTTCCTAAGATATTGAACACCACGGCTGCCGAGATATAGGTGGCTGCCAGAATCCAGAACACAATTTGCCACGAATGGAAGGATTCCTGTTGGTCGAATTATATATACAAAGTTATTTATCTATCTAAATCATTGTTTTGACAGTTCTACTCACATCACTGTAGGTGAGGACCCCCACCATCCAAGTGGAAACGTAACCGCCTAAGGAAGACAGCGTGTTGGCCAATCCGAAGATGGTTCCACCAAAGTTCGGTGCAATATCCAAGCCATTGCCCAAATAACCAGCGGTAACTGCTCCATGGGCAAACATGGCCAGCGAGAAGATCGTCACTGACCAGGTGGCATCATAGCCCAGGAACGATAGCACGATCATCAGCAGACCCGGAGTCACCAGAGCTGAAATTAGGAAATATAATAAATTTATCAATTATAATATTTAAATATAAACTGAATTTCATCGGAAAAAATCTATTTCTGTTGAACTTGAATTTTGTATTCTATTTATTTATAGACTGTGGCAAAAAGTAGTGTGGTTTTCGATTAAAATAAAATTTTATGACGACTGGTTTTTTGAAGGAATATTTTCTAGCCATTAAGTAGCAATAGGGAAATTTAAAAAATATAAAATATTAAAATGGAAGTATCCTAGGGAAACTGTAGAACTTTTTATGCTTAATATACTTACCAAAGGTATTGAACAGTTTCCTTGTAGCCGTCGTACTCAGAGTGCCCTTCTTGCGCAGGTGATCGGCCAAATAGGAAGAGCCCAATGCCATTAAGTATTTGCCCAGATAAGGCAGTGACGAGAACAAGCCGTTCTGAAGGAGATCAAAGATAGTTAGTAGGGATAAAGAAAGCTATCTCCAATTATATAACTCACCTGCTTGATGTCGAAGTGCAGAATCTTGGCCATGAACGTGGGCAGCTGGGTGATCACCGTGAAGAAGCCGAAGACGGCCAGTCCGTGGCAGATGATGATGGCCCAGACGGCCGGGGAGCAGAGCAACTGGCCCCAGGGCACGTAGCTCGAGCGCTTCTTGGAGGTGGAGGTGCCGATGGCCTCCTCGATCTCCCGCCGCTCCTCGGCGCTAATGCGGGGATGGGTGGCGGGCGTCTCGTAGACGAAGGCGAACCAGGCCAGGGACCACAGCAGACCCACGGCTCCCGTCAGATAGAAGACACTGGCCCAGCCAGCGACGGAGATCAGGTAGCCGCAGATGGGCATGGTAATTGCCGCACCAAGAGAGGAAGCTAAACGATAAGTAATAAAAACCAGTTAGTATGGAGTAGACTAGCCTAAATAAGAAGATCTCTTGGGCAGAACAGTTTTCGGGTTAAAATATTTATTGCAGGGCAACATTTATGGGATTTTTAATATATTTTTTGCCTTTACTAGGTCCAATAGACAGTTACAAAAATATAGTAAAAAAAACATTTTACTGGATAAGATCATTTAACAATCCGAATTGAGTATAATTATTTATTCTAGTTCACAAAGACAAAAAATCAAACGATTTATTAATTTGAATAGAGTGCTATTAGCCACTCAGAAGTCAGTCTAATATTTGCTGAAGTGGTTGAAACAAAACTATAATTAAATGGTGAGAAATCCAAGATATCTCAAAGGAAACTGTCTGCTCGAGGGAGCTGTTTAGACCCCAGCAAATCCTACTTACCCATCATATTGGACATGAACTTGGAGCGCTCCATTGGTGGAATCCAGACAGCGGCCACGGGGTGAATGGCTGGCCAGGAGGCGCCCAGCATGAAGCCGAGCACCACTCGCACAACGATGAGCACCACGTAGTTCATGTGCGCCGCCAGCGGCGTGATCAGGGTGAGCAGACTGGCCCACAGCATGGAATGCCCGAAGACGCGGCGGCCTCCAATCAGCTCCGCCAGACGACCACCTGGCAGCTCGGTGAGGATGTAGCCCCAGAAGAAGACGCCCTGGACGAAGTTGGTCTGGTGGGTGTCCCACGGGAATCGCTCCTCGATCACATCCGAGCTGAAGGAACTATTGCCCAATACAGTGGCGTTTCCTGACAAGGTGGCATTTCCCGATAAAGTGGCATTTCCCGATAAAGTAGCATTTCCCGACAAGGTGTTATTTCCCGGGACTGTCACATTCGGCATGACCATGTCCACAATGGCGATGGTGAGGTTCACTCGCAGGGCATAGTTCAGCATGAAGCCGAACATGGTCAGCAGGCTCAGCACTTGGCGACATGACAGGAAGTCTGGAAGAGAAGAGAAGAGCAGTGCCCCATTAAAAAAAGAATCCAATCAACACAGGCCCCCAAAATAAATGCCATTAGCGAACAAATCGAAGCTACGTCTTCTAGGTCGTCGAAAGGTTAGGCACTTAAAATTCGGCTCTGGAATATTCCCAGACAGCCGAACATCAGGCGACCAGCGACTAAAAAACCCACCCAAAGTCAGACCCAATTTCTGATAACGAAACTTTACTTCATTAGAATGCAAAGTAGTATTTAAATATATCAGAAAAAATAGTCCGAATACATTTGTTTTTATATTTATATTAATAGATTGCCCTAAGATAACAAGAAATTCTAACAAAAAATATTTAAAGTATGTGAGACTTAAATAATAATTTGGTAAAATGAAACTGCAAGGTTTTGAAAAGCAAATAGTTCTTATCTGTTTGCTTTTTTAACCTTAGAGTTTAAATGCTTTTGCTTTTAAGGTAAGACATTTTAATGTACCAACAAAACTAGTTTGAAAATTGTAACAGTATGTTAGCAATATTCAAACTTATGTAAATAAAATATATTAATTTACAAACGTAAGCAATAAAATTGCCCAAAACTGTTAAGTTCTATAAATTCATAAAAAACTAACACAAGTTTTGTTTACACCCATGTTAATCGTTATCAACTCACTATATCCCGCCCACTATAATATCTGATGTAATCTGTTGTTTTCATTACACGATGCAGCCCAGATAAACGCATTAATTACCCATATTAATGAGGCAATAAAATCGCAATGACAAAACTTAACTGTCGGTGTCAGGTGACCTCAATAGCATACAGAATGGGCCATGAATTTGATTTGAGGATCGCCAGCCAGTGGGTGCAGCGTAAATTCAAAGTAAAAATCCAAGAGGAGCTGAATCAGCTTTTTTCGAGGAGCCGAAGGTACGAATAATTCCAAGATCATTAAGTGGTGGCCATAATCAGCCCCGACTCCAACCTGTCATCTCTTGGGCGGTTTTTAAGTGGCAAAGTGCATTGTTCGAGCCGGGTTGAATTTCTCGCAAATCACATATATTCATTTCGAGTGCCGTTGAACTCCATTGAACCCCCTTCAATTTTTGGGGAAATGTTCGCAAGTGTCGGTGTAAATTTATAAGCCGTCCGTCCGATTATTGATGCCGGTCGGCGGGCGGAGATAAACTGGCTACAAACGACTTTCCCATCAAAATGCGCTATCAGCTGCTAAAAGCGACTATCGGGGCCAGTCTATCGGCTGTCTGGACGGGACACGCCCATTTCGCTGATTATTGCCCCAATAGCATGTTAATGTCATGCAAAAAAAAAATACGCTACTCGAATTGTCTAGACATCGGTGAGCATCATCAAACGGGGCGGCACAACAATAAACCGACACACTCAACTTGTATTCAAATTAGCACTCGAAAATAACCGAAACTGAACCATCAAAAAAGTGTTAAAAATATACAAAAATATCTAGTCATGCTTGCTATAAATTCTCGATCCCATATAACCAGAAAAACGTGCCCGAAATACACAAAACAAAAAAATTAAAAAATATCGGCAAGGCTTTAACTTAGACCAGTTTCTCCTCTCAAATCAGATAGGATCGGATCGGATCTAGAGCTATAGCAAAATCTTGGGAGATAAAGTTAAGCCAGTAGACCTGTGATTAGCATTGTCCAAGAGAATACGTCAATAGGAAAGTTTAGATCATTAGCAGACAGCTCTCTGATAATTTGTGGGCCACGTCTTGAAACCTGACACGTCGCCAATCAATGCTTAAAAACCGTGTGCCGCAAATTACCGCCACTATATCGATAAGGATTAATTTATACGATTTCCACTTCTACAGAGGAAATAAATTATAATAAATTATTGTCATAAGCTAGACAGGATTTTTATTTATAAAGCGATAAAATTGTTTGCTTATCTAATATAACAGCTATTTATAACTATCAATAGATTATTTTAGTCTTTTTCCGATAATTTTAAATCCGTAAAGCAGTCATAAAATTGCTTAAAAACGAACAAAAAGATATGTCTAAGAAATTTAAAACATTTTCTAGGCAGATATTTAATAATTTCTTTCAATAAATTAATTATTCAAGTTTATCAACTTTATCAAATTAAATTCTCATTAGGCATATATTGTTTGTGATAATTAAACCAAATAGAATTTGTGTACGAACTCTAATTTGTCTAAATGAACTCATCAAGGGTTCTCTAAATGATCTTACTCATCTTTTTGAAACGTTGAGTCTGTAAACTCCTTCCGAGAATCTTAATGGTTAAAACTTGTTTGCCTCCGAGCAGAAAAGTTCTTGATTAATTGTCGCCTCGAACTGTTCTTTTTTTTTCGAGCGGTCTTTTGTTTACCGCCAAACTATTTATGATTTTGTATATTTTGTTATCTTTTTTAAGCGAAGGCCGAGCTTGATGTTTACAACCGAGAAGAGGAGGAGGACAAGCACAAAACCGGCTAAAAAAGCTCAAAATTGTTTGGGTTTCACACTGCCAGGTCAACATGATTTTGACAAACTGTTCTCAGAATTTCGGTGGCTTTTGTGCAAAAACGTATTTGATTTGGCCGTGTTTCCTTCACTCTTTTTTCACTGATCTTTAGCCTTTATTGGCTTTCGTTGATGCTCTACTTGACTTGAAACAAGTTCCCCTCAGTCCGTGACAACATAAAAATCCCATCAAAGAAAGGCAAAAACTTAAAAATAGCCGGCAAGTAAATAAAACGAAATGAATACGGGCAAACGTGATACTTAAATTACTTTTTTTATGATTGGGCAACAAGTGAATCTGAGTTCGCTTCGAAGTTCATTGATTTCTCGGGAAATATTTTAAATTTATTCAACAAAATTGTGGACTAATTAAAAAGCACTTGAAGGGTTGATGAGTTTGCTCGAAAAATGTTTTTGCCTTTCAAAATTATTTGAAAAAGACGCATATCCGGCACTTTTCTGTTGACGCAAAAGCAATTTTGAAAATGTCTGATACATCTCTAAGTACATTTTGCCTGTTATTTTATTTTATCTATTTTATCTGTGTATATTTCGCTTGCCTTTACACTTTCCGATCTATTTATAATGCCTCTCTATCGTTCAAATTCGGGCACTGGGTACACACCCTCCGATAATAATGTCCCACTCTCGATTCTCTCTGGCTATTCCTGACCTTCAAAATTATTCACACATTCGATGGGGAAACAGGGTGGGACTGCCTGGTGGAGAAAGTTAAGCACCGATATCGTCATCAGCCACGACCGACTGATTTATTTTCTCCTCGAATAGGAGCTTGTTTCGGTGCGAGGCGCATGTGATCAGAGCAGCGGGGCAAAATATCTGGTGGAATGTCCTCAATGGTCGTGTGGGCGTTCTGGTCTGGCCGAAAATTTTCCATCATCCACCGCTGACGTTCCTGTGAAATTCGTCTAAAAGGCTAAAGCAAAGAAAGGCCCGCATCGACGTCACATTAATGCGCACTATTCTGTCAAGGTGCCAAGTCATTTTAGTCATGGGATTTCAGCGGGCGCAACGTGGCGTATGAGTTATGGCGAAGGCGCGCCAACCACGAGCCCACATTTCAGATTCGATTTGTAGCCATTACTCCCACAGTCCCGTTCTCTAGATGTAGTCCGTGATATGTGCAAACATATGTATTACCCATATAACCCATTAGGTGAAATGCAAAGCAAAAACTGTTTTGCGAACCAGATATGTCGATTGTATCGAGTCGTTCCAATTGATCACGTTTACAGTGGGTCTCAGGACTATCTTGTCATCGATTTTTATGACGGGCGGGGGGAAATCTTGATCATTAAGACCTTCAGCTGAATGTACGGAAATTAATGCGTATTAAGGTCAGGTTTTTGAATTCTGTCCATTTATAAATGTGATCAATTATTTTTTGAGGAAATTTGAAAGAATTTTAAACAGCGTATTTGAAAGAATTTCGTAAAGAAATTTATTACAGATTTTCTGAAATTTTTTTAATATCTAAATTATCCTTAAAAGCAAAGAAATATGTATAAGGGTTGTTCCAATATTATTCCTTATCATATATTAAAAATGGCTAGCAACCTGGCTAAAAATATATATATATCTAGACGAATACATGTTTGTCATATCAAACGTTATTTGATACTGTATACTAAAAAGAACCTTTTTGATTTGTGTATTGTGATATGCTTCAATAATTTGTATAGCCGTTTTAAAACCCCGAACCGCACAGTGCTTGTAGCACATATATTTATCCACTATATATATACATATATATCTGTCGGTTGGATGACATTGCCGCGTCGCCTTCTAGCGGCAATTATTGGCTTTGTTATGCTGGCCAACTGCATTTCCGTTTCTAACTGATTTACGGAACTGGCCTCGTTCGAATCGAGTGTGTTCTAATGCCAATAGCAAAATAGCAGTGACTACCAAAGCAATGTTGTTTGTTTTCGTGTGTTTGCCTGGCCAATTGCACGTTTCGTGGAACTGGTTCTACTTCAACAATAAGCAATAAGCTAATGCTAATTAATTGCTGAATTATTGTGGCAATTGTTGTTTGCTAAAGGCATACACAGGCTCACTTATCACTTTTGTTGGGCGATTGCATTGTGATTTATTGGACTTTCCCGGCCATCTCCCTCTCGAGGGTCTGACTATGGGACTGGGTACATCCCATCACCATCACCATCATTGTCCTAGATTCGTTCCTCTCATCGCCCTCGGAAATCTTCCATGGAAATTTACAATTGGGCCCTGCACTTGTGGCGCTTGCCATCCAAAGTGCAATCAGTCTTAAGTACGAGGAACTTGTATAGATTTACAACCGCGTCCAGACTGATAAGTCCATGGAATGTCTGGCAATTGTTGGATGGTTTAACAGCCGCTCCGAGTGGGCAGGAAATCAAAAACTTTTATTGACTTAGGTGGATCCAATGTACAATGCATTCAGTCATAAAGTTGCCAAAGTCAACGTCATAAGAGCCCTTATCTGATTGCCTGTATCCGAACCACTTTAATCCAGCATAAAGTACGACTCTACTGCTGGCCTGCTCATAAATGTATCTTCAAGTTGTCATTTCCTCCGACCGTATCTCAAACATGCACGTGCCGGCTAATGAAGATCTACAGGTTGTAAACAAGTTGTCAAGCCCCATGCATATGTATACATTAATAGCTGGTATTAAAAAATATATATATGTGTGTATAAAAGGGGCTCGTCGGCAGGCGTTCAGTGGCCTTAGAAATTCATATTTTGGACCCATTAAAATTATCAAAATCTATTTCACAAATAGTCAAAAACTACTGCCTGAACTTTGGCACTCGACGGTAATAAAAGCTTGGACACGCGTTGCCTTGGGTAAGGACTGGACTATAAATAGGTTAATCAAAACATATTTTTTCCAAAGCCACCACATGAATATTATTTAAGAACCATTAATGGAGGCTTGCTACGCCTCAGTTTTTTTGATTATCGCTCAAACTGTCTGATTCGCGGGTGCCTGGGGTCAAAGCCAGCATTCTTTTTACCGTCTGGGCTCGTTGATAATTGCTTGAATACTTGAAATTTCTGGTTTCTAATTAAATAACAAAAAAAACTATCAAAAAGTGTGCCATGTGCAGCGGAAGTACAACGCAAAGCATGAAATTAAAAACAAATACGGTTCTCTAGCCTTACAATTTGAGCAGCCCATATGTAAAACAGCACCGAAAATTCCAAGAAATTAATTTACCTCAATTAAAAACAATTTTGTTTTTTACACAAAAAACTGGACTTGACTTAATTAATGCATATTAAGCACACGGAGAGAACAATTGAACCTGTTGGGGAGTTCCTACAATGGAGTGCCAATGATGACAGTCATCAATATCTGGAGGGTCTAGTAAACACATTGCCATGAAGTGGCAAAAGTTTAATAACAATTTATCGTGAGCGGAATGGACGGAGCACATGTTCATTATTCATTACTTGTGGCGGGGCTTAGCTGTTTGATTAATTCCAGACGACGACTCGAAGTCTGTTGCCATGGGTGAATAGCCCGGCGGATTCAAATGTGGATTCAAATGGGATTTCGAAGCGGGGAATTTCATCGAAGCGAACTGTGATAAAGAGGCAAAATTGTATTTAGAGCAGGTTCTGTTGTTTTCTACTCAGTTTTATTGGTTTTTATTGTGAATTTAAATTTGTTTAATTATTTAAAAAGCTTTTTTGTGAGGTTTGCGAAGCTCATTAAATGAAACATATATTTGTTGTGACATAGCTGAGTATGTTTTTCTAGAATTTTTTTATTTTAAGTAAATTTTAAACTCATTTAAAAAACCGGAAGTAATTGTACCAAATTATAAAATCATTAAAATTGAAAAGGCTTTTCTCATTAAATGAAACCTTGTTTATTGTAGAAGTGCTTTATTAAAGTATAATAAATGCATGTTCATCAGCGAAATTAAATATTAATTCATGATGAATAATCTTTACAAATGGAGAATACAACGACATAGAATTGATATTTGTTATTAAAATAAATACATTATAAGTGTGAATCATTTTACAAAAATTATGAATTATCTTACGAAACTACCTATTGCAATATATACAATATTTTTGCATGACTAAATAGCTAATCCGCTTAAACCTTTTTAACAAGTTTTGTTTATTATTAAAGCTGCTAAATCAATTAAGCACCTTGGATTTTTTTAAACAAAGCGCAATGTCAATGAACAATAAAAACCTATAAAAATCAGTTATGAATCACGTTTTGATTTATCATTTTCAAGTAAAGTGTGGGCGTGTGTGTAAATTACACGAGTTTGTAATGAATGCTTCAATCTATCTAATCGATATGCATTTAATATTGTTTCCAGTGTTAAATGATCTTGTAATTGTCTGGAGGGAAAACGCCTTTAATTAGCACAATCAAAGTCAGTTGCTTCGCAACTCCCACTAATTAGAGGGTATAAACTAGGGTAACGAAATGTGCGTTTAGGTCGTGAGACGCATTTCTCACCTTCCCCTCTTTTTCCCAATGGTATTTTAATATTTTCCTGCTAATTGAACGCTTTAATTTTTGGTTAGAGCACGGGATTTATCAATCATTCATGTTTGCTCACGGGGTCGACGAAATGTGCACTCTAGCATGCGATCGCAGACCCACCTCCTCCAAAAATCCACCTCACTGTGAGCTGTCTGATTGATTGTCTGGCTCTAAAGTGCTAAATAGCTCAAAAGTACGAATTAAATAGTAAACAGTCGGATGACCGTCGCCGATGGGCTATTAAAAATTCGCCACAACAACAATCGCTAAATTAATTGCGAAATGTACTCAGAATTTAGACCATGAACTAAACTTTCCATACGCAGCGGACACTCGAATTGTTTGACAATTATGAGGAGCAGTGGGGTAGACCAACTAACGTGCTTAGTTAGCGTGACTGTGCTAATTTGTTTGCATAGCTTAATACTCCTTGGAAATGTCATAACAATGGCGTCATGAGGTCGGCCAACTACGCAGTCCAGCTGTCACAAGGAGTGGGCGCCCGTATCCGTATCCGTATCGATGACACCGCCCCACTCGACGAGGAGTGTCAGGCCAAGGACGGGATGGGATTGGGTCCTGGGACACCCCGATGGTGCCAATGATCGAGGCGTTGACAAGGTGTCAAGGGGTGTCGACGAATAAATATTTTATTATAGTTTGATTGACACAAGTGGGTCGCGATTTATCAGAAACAGGCACTCCAAAGTAGTTATGATATAATCTATGGGGGGTGGTTAAGAAATCACTAGAGTTTTGGAATCACCTACAAAGGTGTCCAAAAGTAGGGAAAATGTGTTTTGAATCTTGATATCCTATAAATTCATTACGAAAATAAAAAACACAATATTATTTCATAGTTTTTCAAATATTTTTTGAATAATAAACAGATTTTCAAATTACATTTTATACTACCGAAAGTGCAAAGCTATTTTTATTTTTGCAGGAAAAATATTGACCTCCAATATTAACAAAATGTATACAAAGGACCAGCGGAAGAACAGTAAAATAAATCAGCATTCAATTGAATCACCGAGCCCAATTGATTTGTAACCTCAATACAAGTTGTCCGGTTGACACCAATCAAACTGGATCGAGGAGGAGTCAAATCGATTTGTTTATTTTAACCGAGTTTCAATTCAATTGGCCGTCAGGCATTTTGTCAATTTTCATAGCAAATGACCGTGGCTCGCCCCATTTTTTAGTGGCGTCATGCGGTTTCTGGCCGTGCTATCGCTGCGCGTCTAGAATCGCAGAAAAAAGGGGCTCGGCTGTGGGTACGTTGCCGTTTACTGGGGACTTTGTTCTGGCATTTTCGACTGCTCACTAGCAGGTTGAAACTCGAATTAAAATACAGTGCTTGTACAGAAAACCTAACACTCAATCTTCTTCGCATTAATATGTAATCATGAAAATTGAAAACTATTTTTAAAATTAATTGAGTCTAAGAAGATTAAGTTTTATGATTGATCATTTTTCGGATCATTTGAAAAAACAAGTGATTTCCGATTGATATTAAATTTGTTAACTCATTTATTTCACAACTTTGTTACCAAGAAAATGATTCTGAAAGTGTTATAAAGTACAGATGCATATATTAGTCTGTACTTAGGGTGGGACCTTAAGAATCGACTGGGGACTTTTTGAAGGTGATATCATATTATTTTATCTACTTACTTCGCACTCTGTGCAGTCCTCCTTTCTCCGTGTTGGACATGACGCCGCTGTGTGCCGCTCTGCAAATGGAAATATACCAGAAGTCAGCCAAGTTCTTTAAATTAGAAACGAAATATCGCAGAGCGAAATGATATACATCTAGGAAGTTCGATATTAATAGTCTGCCAAGTTAATGAAACTTTTTCCGGAGTAGCCCACCGATGGCTTGGCTATCTAATCTTATCGCTGGCGTCTCGTGTTCGTACCTGAACGTGCCCACGAAAAGTATTTTCACCAGAGGAGGGCATATGATTACAATATATAATATATATGGGGGCGGTGTCGCGTCTGTCCCATGACTCAAGGCAATTATATCATATCGCTTGGCTCATTCATAACTATACCGGATTGCCCCTACCCCGGAATTCCGTCCTGGCTCCTTATCGCCGTACCGTTATCGCCCCTGTCTGCGTCTTCAAATGCCGCCGCCCAGAAATGGGAAATTCTAAATATACTCGGACCCTTGAGTGGCGTCCAAAAGAGCCGCTAACTTGGCTACTTTTAAGTTAAGTACAACATTTTAATCTAATTTGCAGAAGACCGGAATATTGGTTTTACCAGTTTTTTAGATCTCTGTCAAAAGATAAAGCTGGGCGCACTCCGTAAGAATATCAGTTAATAGCAAACCTAAACAAATTTACGGCTAAGAACAATCAAACCAATTTTAAATGTTCTAACTTAAATCCATTAAAATATCTAATTTAATACTGAATAAAATTTAAGTGTTAATCCATATGATAATATTCAGATCGAATAATATTTGGTTTTGCAAAAACAATTTCTACATTTAAATATTAGAATTTCACTAGTGAAGTTTTTTCGATGAAGTATTCTTGCATTTTTCCATTGCCCTACTTCTTTTCAGTTTTGGTATCCACCAATTTCACCCGCCAAGTGCAATGTGCTGTCGCTATCTTTCTTTTGTTCAATCCTGCTGGCGCCGCGATAAATTATTGAAACGGAGGTGGTGGAAAATTCGTCAGCTATATGCGATTTGTTGCATGCTAATTATCGCCAGACACGTGCATGTGAGGCAGACAGCGCCTGGCAACATGTTGTAAACTTAGTCCAATCAATTAACTGTGAGTTTATATAGCGTTTGCTCAATTTGTGGTGCAAATATTTGCTGGCGTCTTGGTAACAACAATAAAAAACTATACCCGCATGTGTAAGGATATATGTATGTACATATATCCCGAAATTATTGTCCTTGCCGGAGACATTATTAGCTTGTGTGCATGTTGCCATGTTATTAACCGAATGAAAAGCGGCATCTGTCAGTCGGTTGTGTGGGCAATGACTATATACGACTTCTATATGGTCACATGTCAGTACGTCATCTTCCGACAACCCGTATATATGGCAAAACAAATTTGACACAGCCGCAACGCACGAGTTTTCACGCGGGGAGGTCAGCCTCATCGGTGGGATTTGTTCACAAATAAAAGCAATTACACATAGAATATCCAATATTATCAGTCACATAAAAGCCTATCCATAAAATATTGTATTTACCGATACAGTAATTGCAAAGCGCACTTTTGTTTACAATATACAATGTGGTTTGTTTATGTTTTACTTTCTGTTCTAACTTAAAATATATAGGACAAATTCATCATGCGTTTTTAAAACCTAGAAGATTTGCACTGGAAAAAATTGGTATTAGAATATGTAAGCAAAAACATTTAATCCATATAAATTTTGTTTTTTTTGTAATATTTACATTAGTTAGGTTTCAGTTACGACATTATTGGTTTTTTTGTTCGTAGCATTAACTCACGATTTCTTAAAACGCAAAATCACGTAATATATATTAAATTGCTTTATTATTATTTGTGTCATCATTGCTATACTTAGCCCTCGATTAATTAGTATTTTAAATGTTTTTCGTTTTATTATTTAACAAACAAAAACCTCTAGAAAACTTAGCAATTATTACACCAGCAACTCAAACTTTTATGTATTTGAATAACGATATATTTTAATGGAATCGCAGCATTAATTTGTAAGTTACGATTGACAACATATTAAATCTTTATTAAATGTATTCCTAAAATTGCAAACTTGCTCATACTAAGCATATTCATCTAAGATCTAATTAAGCGCCATTTGACTATAAATAAATGTAATTGTATCACACTCGAAACGGATTTTTAGAAATATTTGCATTAGATACTGAAACCCACCTTGCACTCGACGATAACCGCAGCGACAACTAACAAATGTTAGTTGTTTATGGCAAATTATATAATTTGTTCAGCACAAACCGATTAGCAATCTATATCTGAATAATTGAATTTACGCCGATTTGCATAGAACAACACACCCAGCGAACGGAAACCGCGTCAAGACCGCAAAGAAACCGCACGTGTGTTGTTTATTTTTATCTTTACTCTTTTTTTCGTTAGTATTTCAAAACAGATTTCCGTTGTATGAAGATCGGAAGACAAGAAGAACTACACACACTCCGGACAAAAAACAGTTTTAGAGTATAGGACGGACAGCTGTTGATTATATTTTTGAAACGAAAAACTAAGAGTTTATTTTGGCGCAAGCGCAGGCAATTCTAGAACTGATTCGAGCGGTTTCGAAATCGAAATCGAATCGATGTTGCTGCCGTGGCCTGATGTTGCTGCTGTCGCTGTTTTGGTGTTGCTGCTGTCACTGTTTGGTGTTGCTGCTGTGTCGCCGTTTTGTGTTCACTTCACTCGGAGCGTTGGAACTGAACTGAAAATGCGGCCGCTCGTACGCGGCTTTTTCTTTCCTCCGGCAAAGCGGTTCGCCGACAGCGACGCCGGCAGCACAGTTGTCGTTGATTTTGCTGTTGTCGCTGCCGCTGTTGCTGCTGCTGCTGATGTTGTTGCTGCTGCTGCTGCTGCTGCCGCCGTTGCTGCTGTTGCCGCTGCTGCTGCCGCCGCTGCTGACGGTCGTCGTCGTTGTTGTTCGTGGGATGCAAAATTCAAATTCTTGCGAGCCATTTATTTTATTTTTATGCTGTACCTTATTCCTCGTCTCGTTTTTGCACTCGCCTCCGTTCTTTGTTTCTTTCTCTTTTCCCTACTTTCTCGGCGCTGTCAGTTCGATTGCCCAGCTGCCATTATCCAGATGTGATCGGGCCAAATCGCAACGGATAGTTAGGCGCCTAACGGCTGAAATGTGCCGCGATTTGTCAAAAGTACTTTATCACCAATTGATTCGGCAGCAAAAACGGCAAAAACTGCTGCCAAGGCAATGACTCTCTTACAAAGTTACTACTCAATTTCGCGTCAGTTTCGAGACTTCATCGCAGGAAGCTTTTTGTTTTGACAGACATTTTGTTGATTAATAGCTTATTGGGGAGAGATTGTTTGTTTTTAAAACATCTTTGATGCTAATAACAGATCACTTTTTTGTAGATGTGATGAAATACTGTAGATTTTCTGAAACAGATATTACTTTGTTATTATAATTGAAGTATGGCGCAGCTTTGCGTCTGGGAGTGCTAGGAACATACCCACTTAATTGCACCTACAATATGGAAATTTTTAACACCCATATTGAAAGTAAGAAAAATTAATTTAAAATGTAAAAAACTTATTCACAATAAAATATATATTTTCAATATATAAAACCTCAAACTTTTTGAAACATCTAAATTTTGAAAGAAATAAAACTGTTATTTTTATATATTTATATATATTGTTTTTTACGGATCTTAAAGAAATGGTTTTTAGGAGAGTCCAATTACATTTCAATATCTTTAAGTATTAGAATGTGTCAATAACACCATACTAATATTAAAAAAAAAAATTCCCTTTACCCAAAACATGGATCCAATCTCTAGTTCACCATTTCTGAGATCATCTGATTCATTTCTCAATTAAAAGCTTAAATCATTAAAATTTTTAAAGTTTTTTGTTAAAAAGGCTCATAACATTAACTATATAAGAAAAAAGATAAAGGATGATCCGGCTCAAATGGAGAAGCGGGTCCAGCGCTCCACGAGACTGGGACGCGGCGAGGCGCGGTATCGTTCGTCGAAGATGGGGCAGAACTTCTCCGGGAAGCGCTGCTGGAGGCACCGGATCACTGTGCCCGTGAGGTAGAAGCGCGGTGGCCAGAGGCACTCGCAGGGCGGGATGCAGGCCGAGCAGTGCGACTGGTGGGCGTTCCACTTGCTCATGGTGCTGGTTAGAGCGGGGGATAGACACTCGAGGTGCCACGGCAGCCGAAGATCCCGTTCCGTCCAGTCGCAATCGCACGGCGGGATGCACGTCATGCACATGAGTTCCTCGGGCTCCATTTCCGGAGGCCACTGCACAGGCTTCTTCACCGCCACAGCACACTTGTACATCCTTTCCCGCGGAGCCATACCAATCAGCTCCTTGTACTTGCGCTCCTGCTCGCGGTGCAACCACAGATACAGCAGATCCCAGTGGTCCAGGTTACGAGCCCGCTCCCGCAGGATCTGCATGCGCCGGTACAGATCCGATCTGCGCACCTTGTCATAGTTCATCCCAGTCTGCGCGTGGAACAGCAGGTACAGCTCGTTGGGTTTCTCGTCCGGCAGCGAGATGCTGGAGGAGAACTTGGTCAGCTCGAAGTGGAACAACATCCGGATGCCGTACGTGATGTGCTGGATGTGCTCGAAGTTCTTGATGTTCATCGCACACAGAGCGGAGGCGTCCAGCAGGAGCAGCTTTCGACCCAAGATCATGTTCACACGAAAGGTGTTCTGAAAAGTGGGAAAGTTAACCAGGAAAGTAAAATAAGATACCTTGGTTCGGTCATGAAATGATCCTTACAAACTAATTTTAGATGACTTAATTTGTTTAATCTCTTGTTTAATACCCACCATATACTGAGGATAGCCGTAACCATTAATCCAACGCCTAATGTCCATGTCATCCCACTCGAAAATTGAAGGCAACGGGAGCTTGTCCACCACAATGGAGCACAGTTCTACAAGTGAATCGGGCGATGTCCTGAACTGAATGGGTACATCGTCCTTATTGTATTTGGGACAGCCCTGGAGAAAAGCGTTCCGCCGGAATTTGGTGGGCGCCATTTCTGACCGAGCCTTAGCCCTCGTTTTGACCTTCTTCACCAGGAACTTGGTGTCCGCTATTCCGTACAGATAAGGCATCTTGCTTAAATTTAGTTTACAGTCTCGATCCTGTTACTTGAATGTGTAATAAAATTGGACAACAAAAAATAACAGGAAAATATAATGATTACTGGGTTTTTATTGCTTGGATTGCTTTTAAAAAAATTTTGAGATTTTAACTTATAGCTCCACTAATTCTGATTAATAATGTTGTTTGACTTTGTGGTTGCCTTTTAAAAACTTTTGAGATCTTAACTTTTTAACCAGTTCTAGGATCCAAACTTAAGTTGTACTTTCCTATAAAGAAACATGATCTAAAAAATTTGATTGCTATTTTTAGCCAATTACGATTGCTAATTCCTAGTGTTTTTCGGACTGGCAATGCCACGTTTAAAGGGCTTCGTATTACCATTTTTCGAACCACGTTTTGTGTGCGATGTTCGTTAACAAGCCGGCAGAATCTGGAGAAATCTGAACTCAGGCAGAACCAGGTAGTTGGCTACAAATGTACATATATAGGAACCCCTGTAGTAACATCTGTCCGTCAATCAGCACATGCCAAAAGTGAGTTATTGCCCAGGTAAGCGGGAATAGATCGATTGTTTTGGATTATGTTATATCGGGATTGGGATGTCCCGCCGGCGCATAACGGTCCTCGTTTATCGTGCCTGACCATGTGGTAATGTTGGTTGTCAAAACATGGTCAAGGGTAAACGCCTCCAGTTCACATACGTACATATATACATATGTACATTCGGATATGTTTGCGGTTTATTAATGAGTACCGCGAATATATTGAAAATGCTCGGGGCACATGGGTCGCTGACTCATCGTCGATCCGTTTCGATCCGTTCCGATCGTCTCACGTGACAGACATATTGGAGGTGATTTTTATGGAAACACGTTTCTGGCCATTTCGGCCATTTGTTGTATTGTACTCTCGTTGCTCGTTCGGCAATCAAGCAAAAGCCTAATAAACCTCATCAGGTTCATTTAGGCGAACGCTTACCTTCATTAGCATGTGAATGTCAATTTTTATTATTATTTTTGCAAAAGTTTTTCGCCTTAAATTGCGATGACACTTCGAAAGGTTTTTTATTTTGGAAACATCAATTAAGTGTGTTTGTGAATGTGTTTATCACGAAATTTCGTTTTTTTGTCGGAACCAAACACACTGCCCTACAAGATAATGAAGATGTCGGCGGAATGGGCGGGGAAATAGTTGGCGACGGAGTGGGCGTGGCACTATGCCTAGTTTACAATTTACTGTGATAGTAGTGTCGTTCTGAGAATGAACTCGGTAATTATAAGTCAACTGATCTGCTAACTAATCAATACAATCAACACTTTAAGGCAAGACAATTATTAAACTAAAATTTCTTCTCTTGAATATTCTCTGAGATTTAAAATTGCTTCTTACGAAACCCAGCATCTGTTTATGACAGAAAATTAAGCATACTTAAACTTATTAATCATACATTTTGATTCCAGAAGAGCTAAAAAATACAATTGATGGGCTACTGTATGTATTTTAGTTTAACAGTATTAAAATTCTGTGCACAGTTTTAACGATTCAATAACGAACTCAGTGTAAGATTTACGATTATTTAAAAATAAACAGAAGCCTTATAAATTAATTTCCCGCAATATGGGTTAAGGTTTAACCTTAGGTAATAAAATTTAAAAGAAACAATCAAATCAGTGGCAGAAATAAATCGATTTCAGAATAGTTTACAATTTTTGATCAATATTTTTTACTCTTTTGTCTACTGTACTTAAGAATGCTGAACTACACCATAGACCACAGTAGATTTCACTTTCGCTTTAGTCAACGTTTATTTTGCAACAAGGAGGGGAAGAGGGGCGTCTATAGATGCGCCACCATGAAAAATGAAAATGATATGACCATGTAAGGGCAGCTACTGCCAACTACGATCGGACAATGTAATGGTAACAATAAATTAAGGTTCTATTTTTGTAGCTAACTTGAATTACATACCCGCGTTCCACGGCAAACTCAAGCCGGTTGCCAGCAACTAGTTAACAAGTTAGACCTAAAATAGAAGATGCCGCTGTCCAAGTGTCCAAGCGTCCAAGTCAACCATCGGAAGAGTAGAGGAGGACGACAGACTCGGCTTGACCAACTTGCGTACGTACACTATAAAAAATTACAGTTCGATTTCAATTTTGAACAAAGTAGAATATAGACCTTTGTAAACGATTGACTAAAATTCTTAAATAAGATTTCGTCATTTAAAAGTATTAGTAAAAACAGCTATAGAATTACATAATTACTAATTTATTAACAAAAGTTAAAATGATAACAGAATCAATCATTCATAAAAAAACAAATTACGTCAATGATCATCGTATACACGGTGCCAAAACCGACTAACTTGAAATAATCCCCAAGTTATTACTTTTTTGCATCTAAGAATTACACTAGAAAAGTAAAATTTCCATTATATGATTATTTTTTATGCGTTTTAGAATTGAAATCTTAAATATTTTATGTAAAACTAGACAAAAATATAAAAATGTTTAAAATAGGTTTTGGCATTTGTGGTTATAACCAAATTAGCTAAATGCTTAAAATGGTTTTGTTTTTTTTTGGGTGTACGGCAGGAGGTCCAACATGAAAATTAATAATGCAAATAAATTGTTAACTTTAAACGCGCAAATTCCAGTCTGCGTACATCCAGCGTTTCAGAGGGGAGGGATGGATGGGTGGGATGAGGAGGTATGGTGGGGGGAGTGGGGAGGGTCTGGCGGCAGCGTCCACTTGAGGTCAGTTCGATCACGATCGCGTCGGCAGAGGCAGAGACGGCGACCGCGGCAGAGGCAGAAGCAGCGCAGCAGCCCCAAGATCACGACGAGCCTCCTCCGAAGTTTTTGGTCTCTGCCTCTTCCTTTTCGCATGGTCAAGTGGCGCGTGTGTGTGAGTGAATGGATACACATCAAGAAAACATTTATCCAACATGGCAATCACAAAAAAATAATTACGCATTTTACGTTTCAAGTTGGTTTAAAAACTAAAATTTATTTAGGATAACGACAATATATGCTAGAAACATTTAGCTAATGCTTTAATATATTTTTATTGATTGATTTCCAAGACTTAGTAAATATTTTTTTCTCTGTCAGCCTAATTAATTTCATGCCTAGGTCAGCCCACTTTTTCACCCAAGGAGCGTGGTCTGGACACTGATGTTTGGAATTCGAGCTGGAGCGGCTGATTACATGCCTGGCACATTTTAATTGATGATCCAAACGCAATGTCTGAGTTTATAGCTTTGTTTGGTATTTTTCTCTCTCTTTATTTAGCCTTTTTTTGCTCACTTCTTTCCGACTGTCATTATGATTATTGCTTTGACTTGTTATTCGTGCTTTTTTTTATTTGTCCCGCAATGAAAGCTGGTTTCAAGTGCTCCTCCAGTTTCGAAATTCGCTGAAATTTGTATTATTTCTTAGAAATCTTTATAAGAGATAAGAAATTTATGCGACCATTTTGTTGAAGAATATTATTGAATAATTGGGTTGCTTATGACAAAATTCCCTGAAATGAGTAACAGAAATCCTTATCTTTCGATTTTGAAGTATTTCTGTAAATAATGAGATTAGAGATATAAAACTTGTAATCGAATTTTTTTTTTTAATTATAATAAAAATATTGAACTGATCACCCAAAAATAATCTTCAATAATTAGGCGTTCTTTTCAAAACTTTTTCAAATGCACTCTATTTATTTCAAGTTTTGAGGGCATACTTATTATTCGATCATTAATGGAAATGACACATTTATTTCACCACATGATTTTGCTTTTATTGGGGATAAACAAATATACATATGTACATATATGATATGTATATGGGATTTATTTTTTTACGATTCTGTGTTGGATGCTCCATCTCGTGTTTTTCGTGCGTCTATTTTCAACTTCAATCCCCGAGCCATTTTTTTCCTCGTCGACTCATCCTCTTTCTCATCTTTGCGTCATTATCGGACGAAGTCGGGCCCCCTTGTGGCATCTATGAATGTGTGGGGCCCCAACGTTACATATACCCACACATAAGCCGGCAGGCACATACATATATCATTTTATGCATATAGCCACTCGTATCACAATTTCAAGAGATACTAATAGAAGATGCTTTTTTCAGATCTGCTGTTGCCAACGTCAAATGTGCTGCTTTCAATCAGAAATCAAAAATAAATAATATTTTCCACTTGCAAGCGCCGCAAATAAACAACAAATAATAGATGGATGCAGTGCTGCTTGTGCCGATGATCGAAAGAAAGTTCAATTTTGATTGACGGCTGCACAACAAAAGCCATTACGAATCAATGCAATTGAAATTGAACTCTAATTGAAAGAGCGGTGACGGAAACGGAAATACACTGTTAACGGGTTTCGATTTTTATAACTTCTTAGTAAAATGCAACCCTCCGATTATATACGTTAAATTTCAAATCACATTCAATCGAAGAATTACAAAAACAAAAATAAATGTTAAGCGCAATAAAATAAATTAAAGTGGAAGTTCTTAGAATTGAATTATAACATAAATGTACCTTTTTCTATTAAGTACTACAGCTGAACTCTATAGTATTTACTTCAAGTACTATAATAAGGCATAAAAAAGCTACAGTATAAATCGAGTATAGAAATAAAAAATTATATTTTTGTTTAAGTGCTTAATACAATATTCTGATTTTGTAATATGCTTTCTATTATTTCATCAAAACACTTCATATTAAAAGTGGAATATGTATTGCTTATAAGTTCCCCTGTTGATAAGAAAGGGTAGCCCGAGCAGACTTTGAATCTATAGCTCCACTGAATCTAACAAAAGCCATACACAATATTAGTACGCACAGAACTGCCCGCAACTGGATTTTGACGTCACACTTGAACTACTATATTTCGCAAAGTCCAGCCTGCTAACGCATCCAGACTATACAGATAGGTGCACTAGTTCCGTCAAATCGACAATCTAGCGACGCGTGCACTGGGCCTGGAAATTCTATACGTAATCATCTGATCAGAGATTCGATTGAACAGACAAATCTCCCAATTAATGGGCAAAACTGCGCATCAAATGAGTTCAATTGCCGGGTTAGCCGATTCGGAAGATGGGCGTGGCGCGTGTGGCCACTGGGGCCTGACATTTGCATAAATCTTAATTGGTTAATAACAATTCAAGTTCAAAGCTATTAACGGAAATATCCGTAGCCAGTAGAGTGCACCAAATGCAAAGTGGAGCGCACGAGAAAAAGAGATCGATTACGGAATAAACTTGACACATTCAATGGGCTTTGAAGGTTATTAAAGATCTGAAGCCTTTAGAATATTTTAAAATTTGAACAAATACTAAAACTCATCAAAAATACAAAGATAGGGTTTCCGGAGAAAAATAAACCACTTTATTCTTATTTTGAGGGATCTTTTATAGTCAAAAGCCATGACTATGAGCATCATATTTTTTTCCTTCGGAATTATAGAAATATGAGCAGAATCGCTGCGGCCAATGTTTTGATATCAATTAAAAACTAAACTAGGAAATGTGTCTATACTTTTAAAGTTTTAATGTTTGGCAGTTTTAATGACCTTTTCCTTGTCGTCAATATCGTTCTTATTGCCATCGCTCTCATAATCCTTATCAGTGTCGGATTCATTATCGTTATTATGCTGCGCTTGCTCGAGAGCCTTTTTGGCCTCGCGATCCAGCTGGGATTTCTCCCAAGCCAGCTCAAAGGGATACTCTAGGAGCTTCATTTGGTCGGGAAAGTCTTCCTGATTCGGAGCAGTGGCCTGGTTCATGGAAGCTCCACGCGTGTGTATCTTTTCCAACTGGGCAGCATTGTGGACCTCAGCATTGAGTCCCGTAATGAACTCGAACAGTTGCTCCTTGGTGTAGATGTTAGGCAGGCCCCGTCTTTCGAAGAAGTTAACGATGTTGCCGCAATCCCTCATCAGAAACTCCAAAGCACTAGGATGCTTCGGCTCGACGCTTTGGGCCACATCTATAAACCAGCACTTGCCCTCGTACCAGAGTATGTTATATTCGCTCAAATCGGCATGCACCAATTTTGCCTCATTGTACAACTTGTGCATGGCGGCCACAATTTCCTCGTAAGCGCAGCTTAGCTCTGCGGTACTCAGCCGCGCGTCCTTTAACTTGGGTGCCGCATTGTGATTGTCGCCGATAAATCGCATGACTAGCACGTGCTTCTTCAACACCACAACATCAGGAACATTAAGACCTATGGCCTGCATCCTCATTAGGTTATGCATTTCTTTCTCCGCCCACATGTTGATGACTACTCGGTGATTCTGCTTACTAAACCTGTCCTTGAACCGATAGTCGTCCTTGATGTACCGATCACGCTGCTTGAATTCGTTGAGCGTTGTTTTGAATATCTTGATGGCGCACTCCCGGGGGAGCAGATCCGCCGGCATCAGCGCACCGCCCTGGTGGCCATGCTCATTGGTGCCAGTATAATTGGCGTCCGAGTTGGCGTGCAAAATGACCGCTTCTTTGCCCGTGGAGATGATGCCATTGATCTGCTCGAGTATTTGGTTGTTTATCAGCTTGTACAGCAACAAGCGTGTGCTGGCATCCAAACCCATCTCGGCGGTGGCCACTTTTTCATGTTTATCGGAACGACCACGTCGGGAGTGGGCTCTCAGTTGATTGAAGACCTAGAAAGTACATTTGAGTCTTGGTATCCCGTTAAGCTGTTAGATCTCACCTTGTTGGACAGCTTCATGTCGAAGCCAGCGGCATCGCCAGTGGGAAACTCCGGCGGAAAGGACATCACCCTCTGGGCATTGCGCACAGCGCACAGTTGCGGATCGTGCTTGGTGATCATCTCGCCCTCCTTGTTTACTTTGAAGCCACAGCGCGGAATAGACTCCAGCTGTCGTTCATTGTCCTCAAACCGATCCCAGTCATGCTTCATTTGCTCGAGCTCATCCTCCTCGTAGTCCTCCTCGACGGTGTCGTGCAGAAACTCGGCGTCGCCATCCCGCAGGAACTTATTGAGGGTTACCGTGACCTTAGATTGCTTGTTCTGCTGTCGCTCGACGCGACGCAGTTCCTCGTTATACTCGTGATCGAACTGGGACTGCAGTAGTTGGGCAATCACTGCATCGCTGTCCTCCGGAAACTGAATGTCCTCCGACGGAATGGCGCTGTCGGTAAGTAAAGCCGAGTAATCCTCCCACTCCTCGCTACCGCTTTGATTCTTCAGCGAACATCCCGCCACATCGGAGTAGCTGGCGGCTGACGCGGATGAGGCTCCTGCCTCCCAAATAGAGCCTATTTCCTGTACCGGTTTCTTAAGCTGCTCCGTGTGGCGCTGTAGCTCCTTGTCGTGCAACTTGTGGGCATACTGCTCCGACATTATATCAGCCAGGTTCACCGACTGCACTGGCTCACTGCTTTTTACCCATGGAGACGACATTCTGCGAAATTGAACAGGAAATCAGTGCACATGGAATTTTGGGCTGTAATTTGACAAACCTTTTGGCACTTGGCTTGAAAAGATCGAGATCTATATCGGTGGTAATTGTGGCAGTAAGTTGGCCAGAAACAAGCAAACTTATATCCAAGTCCTGACCAGTTGCGGTTTGCAGACGGATTTGATCTGTCCGCTATAGAGGACAAGTGATATTTAATGCGCAATCGACGCGCGATTTACTTCGAAGGCAGTTGCAACTATTTTGCAATAGTATTTCCTTTGTATTTCGCCAAAAAATGTTTATTTTCAACGGTTGTGAAATTATTAAATGGGTTGGCTTGCCATACAGTAAGAACCTGTATGGAGCCGTCGTTTCAGAGTTGCCAGATGTCGAAACAAATTTCCCCTCAAATAATATCGACCAGCCCTGGTTTCCCTCAAAAAGTCCTGTTTTCCCCCAAAATTCAAGCACACGTTAATTTCGAAAAGCATTCGTCAGAAATAATAACTTATTTTTTAATTAAGTATTTTGTTATATTAAGTATTCACATTGACATTGTTTGACAATTGTTCTCCCAAAACTTTACCCGTCCAAAAACCACTAACTTCTGGGGCCCACTCCTTATAAAACAACTCCGCCTAAGAATATGGCAGGTTTTAATTTCTTCGAACGAACATACATACATGCGGTGTATAATTATCGCTCTCATATTTTTTTTTATTTTAAGAAGGCTGTTTTCTGTTTATGGAAACTTTTTTAACTAAGTCTTTGATTACTTAATAGTGTGGTATTTTGTTTTCAAAGAAATTTTTATGTTTTTGTTGAAATGTTTGTTTGATTCTATGATCAAAATAATAAAAGTTTTGTTTTTCCAAAAAATGGATTTCAAAACATATCGATAAGGCAGTGTGACCACTTGCTGCCACAATCAGTGCTGCCAGATGCCCATTTTTAGAGCGGCGTTGCCAACCACCGTTCCGATGCCAGTACTCGATACTTTTTGTTGTAGTTGTACATTTTTCGCCAAAAATAATAATAAAAGTTTTTAATATACGTTTTTTTTGTTGTACAAAGGAGAAAATGTTATTAAACTGATTGGCCGCCCTAGCATTTTCGTGACCCCCGCTCCAAAAAAAAAAACAGAAACGGCCGCCAGCAACAACAAGGTGCAGTAAATATTCAGTGTGCGCTGGTAAGAAAGATGGAAACAAAACGAGAGACCGAAAAAGCAATCAAAATAGAATTCCGAATTTAGAATATGACAGACTGAAAAAAATTTTCAATTCGAACGCATTGCCGCTGCTGCTGCTTCTTCTTCTTCCACAGCCGCTGTGGGGGGACATTGGGGGTCAAATGCAGAAGATCGGGGCGCAGATTTCGTGGATTTCTGATTTCCGATTGAGTTTTTGCAAATTTGCGATTGCCACTCGAACAACAGACACCCACACACACACTCGCACACAACCGCTTTTGGCCGCCTGTAATTATGGTTTATTATTGTCCTGCAGCGCCTTTCGCCTTCTTTAACCGCCAATTGCTCCTGCTCCTGCCCACTAACCAAACAAACAAGAAGCGAAACCTCCAACAGCCAGAGGAAGTGAAATGATAAAGTCCACCACGAATCCACAGGAACAGCGTCTGCCACGCCCCGAGGATCAGTCGCATCCGCCGCCGCCGCCCCCTTCCTCCACCGCCGCCCCTGCCACGCCCACGCACCAAGTGGCCACAGTGATAGCCAACATGGACACCCTGAAGACCGCCTTTCTGCCCAATCTCAGCATGGACCCCAATGTGCACGTGACGCCGCACTATTGCCCCATGTGCCACCAGCAGTTCGAGCGGGCGCAACACGCCGCGGAACACATGCAGCTGTGCCACGGGATCGCGTTGAATGCCCAAGGAGCCATCGCCACGCTGGAGGGTGGTCATCCACAGGCACAACAGCACCTCAAACCCAGCCATGCATGCTTTAATTGTGATGAAAAGTTCGGCAACGCCGTCGACCTGGACGAACACCATCGGCTGGTCCATCAGACCTCAGCCTACCTGGCCCGCTGCCTTATGTGCAGCATCTATGGCATCCACTCGGCCACCCAGCAGCCCAATGAGTACAAGTGCACGCAATGCGGCTCCATTTGCACCACCGCTATGCTGGCAGCCGGACAGCAGGGCTTCATGGAACAGCAGGAGGCGGCGGTGACGCCCGACGACCAGCTGCCGGCGATGGCGCCCCGTGATATGAGACTGACGCCCGAGGAGCAGCACCACCAGCAGCAACTGCAGGCGGAGCACCACCACCAACAGCAACATCAGCAGGAACTGTTGGAGCAGCAGCAACGGGAGCTGCAGGAGCAGGCGCAACAGCAGCAGGTGCACCACCACCAACAGGATCAGGATCTCGCCGGCGACCAGGTAGCGCTGAAGGTGCCACCGCTCACCGTCAAACTGAACAAAAACGCAAATGGCGGTGCCATTGTGGCCCATCCGCAGGTCATTATCAAGGAGGAGCCACTCAGCCTGAGCGACAGTGGCGATGTCGTTAACTCTGTGCCCGTCTATGCCATACAAGCGAATCCCGGTGTTCCCGCCCCGGCCAGTTCCGGTGTGCTCGTCGGCACGCAAACGGTGCCCGCCGATCTGGCGCACAAGATCCGGCACAAATGCCCGGACTGCCCGAAGACCTTCAAGACGCCCGGCACGCTGGCCATGCACCGCAAGATCCACACAGGAGAAGCAGAGTAAATCCATTTTATATGCATCCTACTGACTGGGTATTCCGGCAATGATAGCTATTGAGTAACTATTGAGCTCTGTGATTTAGCAGATTCTTTAAGGATTCAACGTAGATTCAATTTAAGCAATGATTAGTATTGAGTAACTGACATAAGATGAGCAGTATTTTGTTTTTGAGATATGAGTAATTCAAGTAATACTTGAAGTTGTAAATTGTCATTGTCAATTCATTTTTTGTCCAATTGCGATTACAAGTAACTTTTTTAAATATATTTGTATACTACAATTTGCTGATAAGCTTTCGAAATGGTAAATTAAAATTTCAGTAAAATAATAAGAAACTTATATACAGCTATGATAAATCAATCGAGTATAGGGAAATTATAAATTATAAATTCATTGGTATTAAACTTAATTATTGCAGAGAATCAATTAGATCCAGATTTAACCAAATTTGTAGGGTTTTTATTACCAATGCTTTAGTAAATCATTGCAGGAGTACCCGTTATTCATTTAAGGCCTTCCCTGCTTCTGCCCAAAGGGAACCATGTACTAATTATGGGCAATCCCTTTGGGTCCGAGGCAGTGCGATCGTCAAGCTAACCCTAATAATCTTACCTTTTGTATATATTTTATTTTTGTTTTCCTTCGGGGCCAGCTGGGCGCATGGGCGCGCCCTCGAAGCTTTTGGGACGTGGCCCATGCGTTCGTGTGTCGTTTGTTTTGCAACTTATTTTTAAATCGAGTGTTACTAATAATATAATTCGAATTTCTTTCTTTTCTCCCGCGCCCTCTCTCTCTCTCTATCTTTCTCTCTTCTCCATTTCTGCGCGTTATTTTGTGAATATGAATATGTATAATTCTTAACTCTCGAATCTCGAATCTCCACTCTCCGAATCGCAACTCCGACAGCGCCACGCCCAAAGAACGCCCCTACACGTGCTCCTACTGCGGCAAGTCCTTCACTCAATCGAATACACTAAAACAGCACACTCGCATACATACAGGTGAGAAACCATTTAGATGTGGCTATTGTGGCAGGGCGTTCACTGTTAAGGATTACCTGAACAAACATTTAACGACTCACACGGGTGAGAAGCAATATTTTTCAAATCAATTCAGTCAGTCAATCAGCTCTCAATCAACTCAACCAATCAATCGACTCTTCAACCAATCAATCAATCAGTATATCACCTCAGAGTGATGAGAAAAAAGCAATACTCAAAAAAGAGAAACCTCTGTATGCAAGTCCATTTCCATTTGCCATACCCAAACTCGCTCAATCTCAATCTATCAGTACCAATCTCAATCTCTCACCTCTGCCAGCGCCGCTGCCGAAGCTCGATCACCTGACACGAGCCGCCGCAGCGCCTGCGCAGAAAACACGCAGAAAAAGGTGGCAAAAATTGGCAACCTATTAGCCAAGATCAGAATAAATATACTTAAAATTTCATCCCAAAATAAACAAATATGTGTGAATTCTGTTCCAAAACTGGTTGTTAACGATGCAGCAGCAACTTGATCAAGTGAATGTTTTTAATTTAAAATATATTAGAGTTCCAAAACTTTTCAGCATTAAATGAGTTATTTTGAGTTATAAAACTGTGAACTTAATAATATTATAAAAATCTAGAAAGAGTACAAAGCCAAATTAAGAAAACAGTTAAAAAAGTGTTTAGAAAATGGTTCTCCATATTTCATTGTGACAAGTGCATTGTTTATCAAGAACATACTCCTTAAAACTAGTAAAAATTAAATCAATACCAATCCTTTTGATTGCTTCGTAAGTTTTAAATTTACCACTACAATCAATAGTAAACATTTTGTTTTACTAAAGCAGTTATTAGATTTCCAGCAGGCCCTTGAATTTTTGCCATCTTTCCCGATAAGCAACAAGTAACGAATCGAATGAGTCACTATTTACATTCCCTCATAGAAGTAAATAAATAATAAAATCACAAATATTATTAAGAAAGCTTTCTGTGAGGGAAGCAAAGCAATATGATAATCCAAATCCGTATCGCCCGCCGCCTCATCTCATTACGTAATAATATGTCTCGAATGCATTTTAACAACACCAACCAAATATATATACACACATATAATATATAATCTATATATAGTTTGATTACGTGCAAACCTTATTTGATATGCATACATATCTACTGTACCCACACATCACACACCAACTCAGTCAATCAATCAATCAATCAAACCTTTGGTACTGCACGCACCAACCAAACTGGCGTTGTGCTAGCGACAAGTGCTAACAGAGTATCCCAACTTTCTCCGTTTCGCCCATTTGGCTGTTTTGCAGGAGAGAAGCCGTTCCATTGCGGGTACTGCGAGAAGTCCTTCAGCGTGAAGGACTACCTGACCAAGCACATACGGACGCACACCGGAGAGAAGCCGTACACCTGTCCGTACTGTGACAAGCGCTTCACGCAGCGCAGTGCCCTCACGGTGCACACGACCAAGCTGCATCCGCTCTAGGGCAGGCCGGGCGGTGGCCGCCAGATGCCCGTTGCTGCCCCAGCCGCTCCTCCTCCTCCTGACGCGCCGCCGCCGCCGTCCTCCGACTTGGATTCGGATCCAAAGAAGCCATCGGTGGCGCTAGCGGCATCGGCATAGGGGAGTGCCAGCGGAAACGGAAGCGGGAACGGGTTGAGCAACCCAAATGAAAGACCTTTTCAAAGACGAGACACACTCACACATGGGCGTTAACTGAAGCGGATGCAACGCAACCAACGACTGGCAAACCACTTCACAGTGCTGCTAGATTAAATTACTAAATTAGATACTTTCATTTCGGTTAACACAGAAAACAGAAAACAAAGTTGTACTAAACTAGCGTACAGTTCGTAGAATGTTTAAGTTATTGCAATCGATTTTTGATTTTTATTATTATTTGGTTATGTAGATGTTTTGCAATTTTATTTTTATACTCCTATGTATATCGTATATAATATTTTGTTATTCTATGAGATTTTATATGGTGACTCCTTAGCGCACACTCACTTACGCGCGGCGCTATATCCCCAATCAAACCCAACACAACACACCACACACCCAAACACATCTATTATTTATAAAGAGAGAGAAAATATTTTTTACTCATATACTTGTGGCAATATTATTTTTACTACTTCCTGAAATTGTTTGTAAATGTTATTGAAAACAGCAAAACAAAGAAAGGTAAACTCATGTCTACGCGCAAAACTTAAATTATTTCTTAAATTATAAACTTATATTATTCGAACTCAATACAACACAAAATTATTTATTCTACATGAAAATCCTTTTCAAAATTTCAACTCATAGAGGAAATGGCGAAGAACCAATACGAAATTTAGTCATTTCTCAACTATTTGCACACGAGCAGGATCTCGTTTGTTTTGGCTTTAAAAATTTATTTACTTTTAATTAACTAAATGATTTAATCATTTTAGCTTGTTTTTATTGAAGAATGTTAACCATTGTTTATTTTTAAAATTATTTAAGTTGAAAGCGCTGCTTTTGTTTGTTAAACTAAACTTAACAGTGAAATTGTATAAAACTAATGAAAAACAAAAAAAAATAACTAAGAAATTAATTTTACAAAATTTGCATTTTTTAACGCAAGACAAAAAGTATTTAAGGCAAATCAAAATGAGAAATCTACGCTAAACGCAACACAGCTTTACGCGCCAAACTAGAAGATTAAACAAATTTAACATAACGATCTACATAATTGATACTTTTGATAAAAAAGCTTGAAGTTGTTTTTGTAATATATATAAATATGGATTCATCATTTTTATGACTACTTAAAAGCGTTTTTTGAACCAGAAAATGATTACTTGCAAGAGTTGTACGTACTAAACCAACTAAAACTGTAGCAAAACCAAAACCAAAACCATGTACATTTTTATAACATAGTGTTATATAATTATAAAGTATACAAATATATAAACATGTATCTAATATTAATGCATAATACACTCAAACAAATTGTCTACCTAATGGCACATAGCACAGCAACAAACGATGCGCAGCGCATGTAAAACCAAAATAAATTTTAAGTACTAAACTATTGTAATTCTTTAAGTTTTAAATAAACCGAGAGTTGACGATCAAAAGCAAACAGCTAAATCCATGCTTAACTAACCGCAACAAGAAAAGAAAACAATTTAACTCTGCTGCAAGTGATTACCAATGAATGAATGCCGGCATCACGAAACTAATCATGTTGAATACGATACGTACTAAATATCGACTAACTATTAGATCTTAGCCACGAATCCAAAAACGAAGCCAGACAACAGACACACAAACACGAACGTAAGCAAGTGAGTAAATAGAAATTAAATTGTAATTAAATCGAAATTTATTATTATTAAATATATAAATAGATATTACGACTATAAATGTATGTACTTGCAATCTAAATTTACGTGACAAAAACTAGCAAATATTCGAGCAATATTTCAATTAAAAATATATAAAAGGATCTATATATACGAAATAAAGTCCAACCATGTAGAAAGATTATATATAAAAACCTTAAGGGTCAATTGGGCGGTTTGGAAATTAAACTTTCCTGGAATAGGTCCCAAAACATGCATATATAGTTGAGTTTTTCAAGATTGTCTTTAAAAATTGTGAGGGCTAAAGAAATTACCATAAATAACATAATGGATCTAAATTTCCATGGATTTCCATGCGGATGCAAAATACTGCCCCTTTTAAAAATATTATTTTGAAGATCGTATCAATGTCCCTCATTACCGAACAAGGAAAGGCTAGTTTAATCTTTTAGTTTAGTTTATTTAGTTTTTGTTTTCTCTTTTAATTACAATGAACGAATATTATGAACACTATCACACTTTCAAAATGTATTCTGTTTCTTTTCCAATCGTTTTTTTGTAGTTTCTTTTGCGCTGAGCCACTAATTTAGTTTGCCTCTCGTTTTTGTTTTATTGTAATGCTGATTACACTCATATATATGTATATATATTTATATATAATATAAGTTATATGTTTATGTATATGCCATAAATATTTTTTTTATACACACACTTTTGATCAAACGCAACCAAAAGTTGGTTTTTACTTTTTTTTTATAATTACCATTTTTGGGTTTTGCTTTCTTCATTTTGTTTTAAATGCTCAATTTGTTGCATGCATGCTGTAAGTTTACCTAATTTAACCATTTGCCATGTTTTACTTGCTATATATTTTTTATAGTGTATATAGATATACTTTTTATAACCCTTATAAATGCCCATGTAACTGTACTATATGTTTTCTATGGACTTGTTTTCCCCCTTCTTTTTTATAACGAGCGCCTCCAAAATTTATTGCGTACATTTGAAATGTTTTCACTTTGTGTTTTTCAATACTCTAACACGAACTTTTTTTTTAAGGATAAGGAATTTAAGATGTTTTGGATTTGGATCTGAAATTTTCGGAGGATCTCTGCTAGTAGTGTGACAATACTTGGGACAACATTTGTACGGCTAATGTCGTAAAAAAAAGTTCTTAAGCCTCTATTAAGCATTTTCCTATAACTTTCACTCTCGATCGGGAACTCTGTATGTTGAAAGTGTAACAATTTGTTTTCGTGTCTGCACTGCACTTCTTCTTCGTACATAGTGTATTTACAAAAAGTATACCCCGTTCGAATTTTGGATGGGAATGAGAAGGAGTTACAAGTATACAATATATAATACAAATATATTTTAGTTGGTAAGATTAGTAAGACGTAAATCGTACGATAGTTATGAGGGAATTACTAGTTTTAATGCCTATAAGCTCAAATTTACAACTGATTATTCACTGTTTAAAAATGATTTTCGCTGTGTTTCCACTCTTTCAATATCTCTACACACAGTAGAGATCTAGTAGATAGTGTTTGATTGGTTTATAAAGAATAGGCAAATAAATCGAGTGTTAGTAACTATCGAGGAACTAAGACTTAAACAAAAACACGTGTCATAGGAATAGGATTATATTTCTTAATGCTTGTGGCCTTTGTTTTATACAGTTTTATCGTTACCTACACAGGTGGGCTCTGTTTTACCGCTCTACCATTCGTACAACTTTGATCTATCAGTGATCCTATCATCGAAATTAATCGAACTCAAGACTGAGAGAAATCAACAAAGTAAAATCGTCTAAAAATTTATCAAAATTTTACAAAACTTGACTGCATTTTCTTCTTTCCTTTTCGTTTCTTTAAAAATAAAGTAATGTTTGTTATTGTTTGTATTTTGTGTATGCATCTCTACTCAAGTTCCTGTTGGTTTTTTCTTTCTTTTCGAAATTAAAGTAATTCTTTTATTGTTTGTGTTGTTGCGCTATATAATAACTATTTCTCACATACATATACATATTATCTACATATACCAACATGTATCGTACCGTTTAATACTTATATACAAATCTCTTTGACCGCTGGAATATCGGTTAGCTAATCCTTGATGATCCTGCGATTCGAACTCCCCGGTTGGGGTTTCCTTACTTTGAGTGCGAGACAACGGAGTGGGAGACCATCGAGTGGGAGAGCATTGAGTGTGATACGCCCGATATTTCCGCATAGGTGTCTGTGGGTCCTTCGGCACTGCAAACGGAGTCCTCGGGCGTCCGGGAAGGTTCCGCCTCGGTGATCTCAATGTCCTGATGATGCTTGTTGCTGCGGTGTTTGGCACTTAGAGCCTGCGAAGTTAACAGCCATCTTAGAAAACTTTTTATCAACTATGATACTCTTGTTTAGTTGTAGTTTTGTGTGCAATCTGTTTTGGATTAGACATGGAGTGCTATCTATGGACGGACACATGCACACACGCAGACACACAAATTGGTTTCGGGTTTTTATCGGGGGACTTGGGTCTAAGTTTATAGACAAACGTGCGAAAAGTTCTTTTGATTTCTTTGGGAGTTTAGTTTACAGTCACAACACAGATATTATTTATGGGGTTAGGTTTTAGGTTTATTCTAGAATGCGGCCGAAAGTTCTTACCTTATCCTTGCTGCCCTTTTTCTACATTGAACATTGGTGGTTAATGTTTTGTTTGGTTTGGTTGTGGTGGGATTCGAATATATTGTACATAGTCATGACAAGAACAATGATATTTATAGATGTATTAATATTAGTGGCAAACAATACTGAGAGTTCACATTGGAGGAGCAAGAGAAATAGTCAAAGACGGAAAGAGAGACGGGGGAGAAAGATCTAGGGAGCTGGGGATAGGCAGCAAAAGGTTTGGTTTCGGTTTGAAGAGTTACAGCAACATCGATCTGAGTAATTCAGTCCTACAGCCCGGTCCCCCAAAAGACCTCGGTGATGTCATGTACAGTGAGCACTATGGCTGGTGGACTACACTGCCGCTGAGGTGACCCCGACTTACCTGCAGGGAGAAGCGACGGTGACCCGCCTTGCGTCCGCCACGTCGCTTGCTGATGTGCGGATTGTCCTGCCTCAGAGTCTTGCTCTTCATAATCTCCAGTTGTGTGTACAGTCTGGAATGGTAAAGTGAGTATTAAGTATTATTTCGAAGTACCCTTGCAGATCAGTGATACAATACAGATGTTGTTCCTTTAATAAAAACCCAACATTATATTAATCTACAATATAGTCGTTGTACTGGTAAGGTTATTACATTACCTAAAAAACAATATGATTGACTATACTTATTTTAAAAGAGTTCATATTTTTAAAATTATCTTTAAATTACAAAATAATATTGTGTTTTTCAACTTTGTTGGAATTACAAAGACTGTTAATATAATTTAGCAATGATAGCAATAATTATCCGGTTGTGAAGATTTCAGTAAGTCATTAACATAAAAATGGCTTCAAAAACTTGAGCTTACTGATGTTATTCAGAAAGAAATACAATTTAGAGAGACAGAGATATGATTTGTACTTATTTTTACGTACCTTTTAAGTTCGGCGCGTATGTCCTCGGGACTCATTTCGGATATGGTCAGCTCCCCGATGTCCGGATCGCCCAGACAGAGCCCGGCATATCCTCCGCCCAGCCGCTGGCCGGCGTCGTGTGACGTACCCTTGAAAGCATCCACAGGTAAACGTATTGATAGATCATACGCTAGCGAACGAACCTGCAAGCTATGAAGATGCAACAAACACCGCAAACCACACTCAGGAAGTAAAACGGAAAATGGAGAACGGAAACGGAAATGGAAATGGAACTCAAGGTAAGAGAGAGCAAAAACGGAATATAATAGAATAAAATAGAGTAGACCTGTGCTGGAGGCTATGTATTTGATGTATATATATATGTATGTATGTGAGTGCTTATTGGTTGGGAGTTTATCTGTTGTGGTGCTGGAAATGAAAAGAAATAAAATAATCAAAAAATAAACTCAAAAGATTAAAAAGATGGACGTTGTCTATAAGAAGACTACTTAGACAGAGCATTTTAGTTAAAGATTATTTGGTTGAGAGACACAAAGACAAAGAAAATTACAGTGAGGAAGAATTTTGGAAACACTAGTTTGGATTTATTTTTGGTATGCATATTTTGGATTTAGATAGGAAACCGATTTTTGTCATTTGTTTATAATAGATGTTGTGTTGGAAAAAAACATGCAAAAATCAATGCAAAACATGCAAATAAAAAAGCGTGCTAGTTAAGTTTAAGTGCAATAGAATCAAGCAGAAATAATATGAGCTAACAACATTCTCTGAGACAAAACGAGACACACTTGCAGCAACTTCATAGCTTGACTAAAGTTTCAATTCAATGTTAGCTTAATTCTAATATTATGTTAATTTTCTCGATGAAACCAGAACATGAACTAAAAAATAACCATAACCAAATGAAAAACTCAATTGTTTTAGCAAAAGCAAAAAAGCTTTCGGTTGGGTTTCCCCTTTAATTTTGTGGTGGCAAGTTAGTAACAAAAATCGTTTCCTCAACCAATGTCAATACCAAATACGGATTTCGATGACGATTTTGACGATAATGACGACCACGCCAGCGACAGACAGCACAAAGTGAACGGGGATGAATACTCTAAGCATATATATTTAATGCCCAACTAGGACTCAACGTTTCCCAGCAAAATCTAAATGTGTTTAACTAAAAAGCGTACTCAAACCAAGGAAATCAAAGAATCACAAAATAAGTAAATTAAAATGCTTCGAACTAAGGTCGGTTACCTGCTTGTGCTGATACCACAACTTTGGCACAAATATCAGACCCAAGGCGAAGCTGTTCGTCAGTTGGGAGCGGATGAAGAGGGCCAGCAAAATGGCGCTGGGACTCATTTCCGGCAGGTAGACAAAGCGCAGAAAGTAGAAGCTGGACGAGACCAGGAACTCCAGCGTCAGGGCGGTCACCAGAAATTGTCGTTCCTGTGCGGAGCGAAAGGAAATAGCTGGTTAACTCATTTCACCCCATTGCAGTTTGCTTATGTACTAGTATAATGTTTTTAATTTAGAGGAACACCTGCTTTTCTTTAAGGTTAATTTGTTATTTGCATACACTAAATTATTCAAGTCAAAGCATCGATGATTTAAATTTTCTATATTATCAGAACATTGCAACTTATAAATTCATTGCAAAACAATATCTAAAATATATAGAAAGTAAATGTAATTATTGTAACTATCGGTTAAAGACAAATGCAAATGAAAAACAAGAAAGGAAAGCTAACTTCGGACGGAGCCGAAGTTGATATACCCTTGCAGAATATTCTGTAAATTATATTCTTCAAAATTATTCATATGGTGTATTCTTAATACTCATAAAAAGTCCTAACTTCCTAACTTTAAAAACACCAAAGTTATGGCATTTCCAATCGTTCAGTTATATGGCAGCTATAGGATATAGTCGGCCGATCGTTGTGAAATTTGGTAGGTCGGATTGATTGGCCAAAAATAAAACCCATAGAAAATCCCAACTTGATAACTTTACAAACACCAAAGTTATGGCATTTCCGATCAATCAATTATATGGCGGCTATAGGATATAGTCGTCCGATCCTTATGAAATTCGGTAGGTCGGATTAATTGGCCAAAAATAAAACTCATAGAAAATCCCAACTTCCTAACTTTAAAAACACCAAAGTTATGGCATTTCCGATCGTTCAGTTATATGGCAGCTATATGATATAGTGGCCCGATCCCGCTCGTTCCGACTTATATACTACCTGCAATAGAAAGACAACTTTTGGGAAAGTTTCAAGCAGATAGCTTTAAAACTGAGGGACTAGTTTGCGTAGAAACGGACGGACGGACAGACGGACAGACGGACGGACAGACGGACAGACGGACAGACGGACATGGCTAGATCGACTCTCCTGGTGATGCTGATCAAGAATATATATACTTTATAGGGTCGGAAATGTCTCCTTCACTGCGTTGCAAACTTTTGACTGAAATTATAATACCCTCTGCAAGGGTATAAAAATAACTGATTTCTTTTTGACCTGATATAAAATTGCACAAAATTTATATATTAATATATAATAAATTGATTTATAAACATATTAAAATGCAGTTATTTTTTCCAGACTAATACAGACTAAATTCTCATTATTTAAGGTTGCAATACATCACAAGCACAACCCGTTGGGTTTACCAACTATCAACTTACCCGGAACTGGGTGTTGGCGTTCCGGCTGGCGATGGACAGGTGCAGCCCGAAGCAGAGGATGAGCATCTCGCTGGTCTGGGTGACCAGCTCCCACTTGAGCGGGTGGCAGGTGTTCGTGTCCGCTTCCCTGAGACTCTCCAGCTGGGCACTTTCCAGGAGGTCCAGCGACGAGGCCGTGAAGGCGGCCATGTAGCAGATGACGGCGAAGACCATGGTGCCCAGATACTTGAGCAGATCCACATCCCGCAGCACCCAGCGATGCGCCTTGCGGGTGCGGAAGTCCACCAGGTGGCGATACAGCTTCAGGATGATGGCTCCGTAGCAGGTGATGAAGCCCAGCTCGCGTAGCCACGGCTCCAGCAGGCATCGCTCGGTGGAGGCGGGAAAGAAATGGACGGCAACCTGCAGAATGCATACGTTAGTGAGCACCAGTTGAAAGAACATCACAAGGACCACTCACAGATGCATAAAGTAACACAATGCCCAGCAGTATTGTTTCCAGCACAGTCCACATGCCCGAGGCAATGGCCTAAAAATATAATACAATTTTAATTTAGAAAGTTTGTTCCTTAAGAAAGAAAGTGAAACACAAGTTATAAAATTCAAAAATAAATAGATTTTTAAATTGCCCTTAAATGTTATAAAAGCTTTAATTATGTGTTAAAAATATATAAATTTCAATTTCTTGGAAAAATGTTTTTTAAGCAGCCTTTTAACTTGTGTAAAGTAATTTTTATCAGAAAAGCTTTAGTGATTTGGAATATAGGCTTTTCAATATTTTCTATTTAAAGCTCTTATAAGATTAAACTGAACGACATTCTTATAGATTTTTAAGCACGACTTTTTTTGAAATTTGCGATAAACCTAATTAATTTAAACAGAAGTATACCTTGCACTTCCTCTGCCTGAAGACAATCACCCCTAGGACGACACAGCACAGGATGCAGGCACCGAGGACGATGGCCACCAGGAGGCGCAGGCAGGCGTCCACGTTGAGCACCTCCTCCTCCTGGAAGGTGAGGCAGACGCCGTTGTTGTCGCAGTTGGAGCATCCGCCGGGACACGGAATACACGAGTAGTTGTCGTAGCCCTCGGATAGCTCCACCCGATCGCCACGGAATCCCTGGAGCGTGGAGTTGGGCAGGTAGTAGGATTCGCGGCACAAACAAGTGTACACATCCCGGGTGGCGGCGGGTTTGTTCTCGGTGAGCAGGCAGAAAGTTGTATTCCGATCGCAGCTGAAAGGATAATGTTTTCCATTATCACGTTTTTTGCAGATAAAGTTTGGCAAATAACTCACCCATGACGACGACCGAAAACTTCCTCCAGGCCATCGTTGCACACATCCTCGTCGGCGGCAATAAAGGCAGCCGCCACAACTCTAAAAATATTCACCATAAATTACAAGCCGTCCTTATATCCTTGTATATATTGATTCGACTCACTTGATTTTATGCTCGCTGAAGGATATGCGAAATGGCCAGAGCCAGCGGCGCGTCAACAGGTTGCAGTCGCGAAACGGGGCCCCCCACTCCTGAGTGCCGTCCGTGCTGTTCCAGGCCGCACTGTAAACGGGGAAACAAAACAATTATGGGCAACTTTCCAAGAGCAATACGGCTTATGCATATGAGTGCTGTGTGTACAAGTGGTCCAAAGTAAGGAAGCTATTTAAATTTAGCGATGCATATCTTTAATGTTAGGTCAAAGGATACGAAGACTCGAAAGCTTATTGAAATAAATTGGCTATTCAAATTAAGAGGCTATATTATAATAATCTCGACATTTAGTGTTATTTGTTTATTGTTAAGCTTCATAATTAAAGGCATATGTATTTAAAGGATTAGTCCAATTGAATTGTTGATAGTGAGGCGCATTTCACTAATTATGTAGAATGTATTTGTGTGAAGCTTTTAGAGGCAATTTGTATTTTTAATTTAAACTGCATAATTATGTTAAACTACTAAAATAAGAACTGTTGTGTGGCTCCTTCAATTTAAATGTATACAAATCATTCAAAACTCCTTAGCACACTTACCCCAACTCCCGCCAGTAGGAACCCAAATATGCCTTATTGCGCACCTGATTCGGTGGTATCTGCAATAAGTAGAACCGATTAACTGGGATCCATTATCGCTGATTAGCGAGTGCATACCGTAACGTTATCCTTGAATTTAACGACCACCGTGTGGATGCTGGGCGCGGCGATGGCGAAGGCCAGGAGATTGTCGTCCTCGTTGAGGGCATAGCTAGCGATTCCATTGGCCCGGCGACTCACTTCCGCACGTGTCGCCTCATCGATGGTAATCGGTGTGTTGGCATTTGGGAATTTACTCGATAAAAATTCAATAAACTGGCGTGCGGCATCTTCGGCGATGTCTGTGTAGTCGTAAAACTGCAAAATTCATATAAAACAGATTACAATTAATTTCTGGTAAATCATAAATCAAAATTTTTATTTATTTTATTTCATCTCCGGAATATTACTGTTGACTGAACCTTTCATAACCTCTGCAAGGTTAATTAATTATAGCTAACATAAAAAGATTTAAGAGAATCAAACAACAAGTCTTTAGATGTATGTATTTGGTATCTTAAGGTATCGTATTTAATTTGGTAAAGTTATGGAGTCTAGAAGTACAATTGAGGGTCTCCTTTTTACAAGCCATCGGAAATTTAGAAATAACTAAATTGAAATTATAATACTCTCCGCAAGGGTATATAAATTTCAATAGCCAGAGAAAACTAAACATGAGAAAAAGAAAACCCATAAATACATAAATTATATATTTACTCTACCAAAGCAAATGTATTGCCAATATTGAAAATGGAAAATGCTTAAATAAGTTATTTAAATGACTGTTAAGACAGTAGAAATCGTGTGATTTGTGAATGAAAATGTGGTATTCCGAAAAATTACGTATACGCATCGGCTGCCGCGTGATTTAAGTGACCAGGCTGGCATCTACATGGACATTTCCCTTGACTTTGGGACCATTAATTATTCACCTGGCGCACAGGACACGTTTCACAGCAACACCTTTTGCCAAGGAGTACAAAAGTTTTGTTCCGACTCGGAAATAATAGGATTTAATGCCCTCCCCAGGCTGTGGGACTGCAGAAATGTTTTTAATCCGAGTTTGTTCTGCTCTTAACCGACCAAATGTTTGTACATAATTTACACGTTACAAGAAGCTCTCGAGATCTACGCACAAAAAAGGAAGGGTGGCTGAGGGGAAACTTTGATGACATCATTATGGCTTTGGGAAACAAAAGTAACCACAGGAAGAGCCAACAGAGGGGAGCGGGACATGTTGTCTGCGGGTGAGTCATGTAGTTGGGCCGGCACCTTTTGGCTTTTAAAACAAATATTTCCCATTAGCAGGGCTCCTGCTGCTGGGCGACCACGTTGCGTATACGCTACCAAAGCCCCAAATAAATTGCCAACAAGCAACAGCAATATACAAATGTTTGTGGATGCTCTCCATCGTGTGTGTATGTGTGGCTTTTTTTTCGTTTTGCATATATGCATGCAAATCTAACGCCCAAATGAACATATCGAGGTAAAAGCAATCAGTGTAAGGTACCAGGAGAAATGGCATGAGAGCGGAGCCGACCTACTCCCAGATAAAGCTATGATGGAGTGGAGTGTTCTAAACACTCGTGTATATGCGGTGTGACCATAATCATAAACCTTCGATATACTCTCACATGTACTAGAAAAGCATGGTTAAATATTGGGAAGCCAGTTTCGTAAATAAGAGTTACAGCTTTGGTAACTTCTATTAGGCTTTACAAGTTTAAGCCCAACAAAATTATATTAATTTAACGAAGTATATCTTATTGTTCAATTTCCTTACAATTAAAAAATATATTGGAACAAATTTTAGAAACAATTTTGTTTGAGGATTAAATTATTTTTTCTATGTCGTGATAAATCATTGACTCCAAAGAGGTGAAATGTGAAATCTTTCTCCAAAGTGATGAATAATAACATGTACTTTTTATCCTTTGTTATTTTTTACAAAATGGTTGCAATCACTTATATATCCTTACGCTCTGGCCCTTTATTTAGGGTATAAATGTATGTAAAAACACTTGTAAATAGCGGCAGGAGCCACAAAACACACACCGAATGTGTGTGCAATAAAACATGCATACTTATGCAAACATGGCCGGAACGAGTGTGCGTGTGTGTGAGCAACTATGCCAAGAGTCTGGCCAACACACACGCAAATACAGCCTCCCGGCTGCCAAATGAAATCAGTAAAGCGCGTTTTACTGGCTTTTTAATGTCCACTCCCGCCTCTCCCACATTTCCATCTGCATTTTCCGGCATTGGCATGTACAAAATTCCTACTTATGACCATAAAAATATTTACATGGCGTAACTGTATGCTTCCTCATTGTCATTTGCATGTACTTCCTTTTATTTTCTATGTTTTGTGCTTAATGAATAAAATATGTCAGACAGTGCTTTCCTTTTCTTTTCCTTTTTTTCGTTTTGTTTCGGTCTTTGGCTCAACTGCTGTTGACACTCTGCCTATCCTGAACGCACACTCACACCCCGGCGACTACTGACAGGCTTCACTGTACCCGCCTGCATTCATTACATTATTCAGGACGACAAGGCGAATGACATAAGCTGATTGCTGCGGAAGTCCGCAGTGTGTGTGTGTGTGTGCTTTATTTATCGGATTAACATAAATGATTCTGTTGAGTGGCAATGGTTTTTAAATTTATGTCTCCATAAATGATAAACGCAGAGTTGGCAAACTTTAATGTTAACCAAATTAGTTGGCAGCGTAGTTGTTTGTGGGGAGATCAGAAAAAAGTGGCCATTAATCCAAGCGAACACATATTAATTGTGCAGTAATTAAAGTTTATCCCAATTGCTTGTGTTTTTTCGTTTGTAAAATTTTTAAATGGTATTCATATTATTTCCATATTTAACTCAGATTCTTTGGTAAATTGCAGTCATATTAAATGTAATAGTAAGATTCGTGAAACTTATCTTCAATATTATAGCCCAAAAAGATTAGGTATCTAAAAATTATTTTATGCGTCTATTCATTTACACTTAAAATTTAACTGCCCAAAAAAATATATTTTGCTGTCTTAAATATTATTTATATCTTTAAAAAGTGTAAATATAACCCCTTTAAATATCTCTTAAATATTTATTAGTTTCTCTAAAATCTTAAATTTCTAACACAACATATTAAAGGTATTAGCAAAATAAGTACCTTAAATATGGGCTTAAAGTGGGCAACATTTGTTCAATTTAAGCAGCAAAATGCGTGTCCAGCATCGCAAACGAAATGTAATATATAAAACAATTATTAATAACTTTGCAGCTTCAGCATTGTTAGCAAAACAACACGCACACGCAGAAAAAGCGAAGAGAAAAAGGCAGGGCGGACACACTCCAGCTGGAAGCGAAACAAAACAACAGCAACATGGCAGCAGCAACAGCAACAGCAGCAGCAGCAACAACATGAGCAGCACCAGCGGCAACAGGAGCAACAATAATCCTTGACAGGCATTCGACAAGGCGCTCGCCGTTGACCGCAGGGCACAGGAGCGAGACAGGACGACTGGGGGCCACAATGGCCAGGATAATGCCCAAGTTGGCAGCTGTCAGCCGCTGCTGTTGCTGTTGCTGTGCACCACATTTATTTATTATTTTTTTATCTGGCCACACTCGAGATTCAAATCGCTCCGAGGATGCTACACATTTTATTTTTCCGTTGTTGATTTTCCTGCCCTCGGCTCATTGTTTGTCTTCTAATTACACAAAGGTCCCGATTGCGTCAGAGGAAACTTAGTCGGGTAATCGATTCGTGCACGTCATGTATTGGACTCTGTTTACACCGCCGACTCATTGAATATTTATTCTCGATTCGCTAAGCGGACTAAAAATAGCATCTCAAGGAACCGCCTGGCAGACAGTGGGAGAAAATCCTGCTGACGAGGACTGGCTTAAAGTCCTTGGCTGCAATTGTCATGCAAATTCAATTAAAATATTGTGATGCGCACACGGAAAGAAATATCAACTTATTCAATTAATTCAATCCCTTAGCGAGTGTGAGGCTAATAAAGATCTAGACACGTTTACACAGTGCAAAACTGGCTTTGTATATATATTTTGCTTTGGTAAATAAGTGGATTGATAATACATTTTAAAGAAATTCAATAAAAAATTAAGATTTTATTTTAAAATATGTTTACTAAGAGTTGTATTAAAAAAGCAACTCTGCTGTAAATGATTAAATTTAAAATCCATGAATAAAATATAATTAAATTCCACTTTTTTTGCCAGTGATCTTAGGGCGCCACGTTGAATATTCTGCTCACTTCATTAGCATCTCGTAATTAACTTGTTTAAGAGGCAGAATCTTAAAATAAAGGAACTAGACGAGGTGGGCGGAGGCACCACATATGAACTGCTGTCAAGACAGGCCGTAACTCTTTCCAAAGTCCCGCGGTTTTTGTGTAAAGGACGCCCCTGCTAAAAGGGAAACTTTCCGCCCATTTTCTACTTGCGTCAGCCATGGCGTATGCGTAATATTTTTTTCGACAATCAACAAGGTGGGGGAGGTGAAAACGGAAAAGAAGCACAGATTTGCGCAGAGATTTGTGTCAGCAGGAAAAAGCAGAGGATACCGAAAATGAAGGAGCACCCAGAACACATTATATGGGTTGCTATCTCAGCAATTTTATTGATTATTCGCCAGTGCAGCGTTGGCAATTTCGTAAATTGTCGTTAATTGTCTTTGCCTTGGATCGATGCAGTGCAAGCTGCACTCGTTCTCACAAATGTCCGTCAAAAGTTATGAAGGCAGTCGGAAGGTGAATCCCCCCCTAGAATCCTTTCAGTTTACGTTTGCATTTCTTTGATTGCTTCAAAAGTTGGGGCACTAAATTGTACGCTTGCTTATTGCTCCTGCTGCTCCATGGAATTGCTTTTGATCTAAGTAGTCCTCGTGACTAAGTGCAAAGTTGAAACTTTTACCCGTCCTCTTAGCTAACAAATTATACTTCAGCAGTTCTAAAGTTAAACAAAATGGGTACAGTTTATGAACTAGAGGGGCAATCGGAAAACTCAATTGAAGAAGTTATAGAAGAAAAGAATTTGCTTATTTTTAACCTTGAGACAATCATCTTTTGTTTAAATAATATTGAGTTCAACAACGTTAAGATAATCAAACCTTTGAAAATATATGTTAACCGAAAATGACTCATAAAAAAACCACAAATTTGCCTTCTAAAAAAAAAACAAAATTAAGGACTAAATTTCTTTAAGACGGAAGATGTTTGGCCTTAAAAGTTCTTTATCAAAAATGTTACACTTGTCGTTTGTATACTTGCAAATAAAACTACACAAATTGGCAAAGTTCTATTGAAATAAAAACGAGAACAGTGGGTCAAAGATCCTAAGAGATCTGGCTCATAGCAATAACTATGATATAAAAGAAGGACTTACCGGCTCATCGGGTTGCGTTTCCAGTACTTTTGGCTCGCACTTCTCCTCCGTTTTGGGTGTTGCTGCTGCAGGTGGCGATGTGGCAGCGGCAACTGGCGATGTTGCCGCCGTATCCGCCACAGTTGCTGGCGTTGTGGGGGTGGCACTGCGCTTACGCAATCGAAAACGCTCCGCCCGACTGAGGACGGACACAACGCTGACGGTGGGCGTTAGCTCGTCAAAGTCAAGGCCGGATGCGTCGTGATGCAGGTGATACTGGTGCTTGTGCCCCAGGAAGGTGGAGGCAGGGGCAGGGGCCGGGGCATCGCTACTTTGTTGCAGGTGGGCGCGCTTGTAGTAGGCCAAAAGAGCATCGCGCCTGCTCTCGCGGGAAAAGGGGGTGGCATGTGGGCTGGGGGAGGCTGCGGCGGTGGCAAGGCCGACTATCAAAAGCACCAGCAGCGAATAGAGTGTGTTTAATTGTGTGCTTCTACTGGGTTTACTGCTGTTTTTGCTGCTTTTTCTGTTGATGTTAATGTAGCTACTGCTGATGTTGCTGCTGGTGCTGCTGCTGATGTTGCTCTTAAAATGTGATGATGTTGCTGTTGCACTATTTGTTCGTTGGTTTTGTTGCTGCTTTGTCAGGTGGTCTCGATCTCTGTGGCTGCTGCAATTGCTTTGCTGAGTGCTCTGTACTTGAGTATTTGTTTGATTCTGGTGGCATTTCTTTTGATAGTAGTTGCTTTGCTGCATTGAACTCTGAGCGATTTCCGTTTTTGACTTTGTTGCTATGCACAGTTCCATATCACTGATGTTGTTGCTCTTTTTGTTTTTCTTGTTGTGGCGCTTTTTGTTGTGGTTACTCTCGTTTTTGTTCTTGTTTCTGGTGCGGTAGAAAAAGTTCCTCGTGGGAGTGGCAGCTTCGACAGGTGTAAACCGAAATTGTGGCACAGTGGCGCGCTCATCTGCAAAAATTAGAAAAGTTTTGACTTGTTTAGTTGCGGCTTAGTCAGAAAATAAATTAAAAGTTTTTTTTGTATTTGTTTTAAAATAAGATATAACAATATAACCTTTATTCGAGTGTGAATTTATTCCATTCGGAAGTTAGGCTTAAATTTAATTTCAAGAGGATAGTTTCGAAAAGTTAAGGTGTAATAGAGAAGACTAATGTTTGTGACTTTTATCGCGAGATTTCTTTATTAGAGAAATATATAGACTTTAAGAACTTATTTAAACTAGAAGGAAAATATGGCAAACATTTGTAAACGTTTATCTGATCTTGAATAAAATTTTCTGCTTGTTAACTTCTTATAATACGTTAGTCGTAATAAGCCCCATTAAAATCGATTGATTTGTATTGTTTTTATATACGTTTATGAAACTGACTCAAAAAATAAAAGGCCTCCGTTAAATGTAAGCCAACGTTGAAAATACATTGGGTAAATACCAGAAAAAATTATGAATTACAAAATAAACACAATTAAATGGACTGTAAGCGATTGACATGACCGTTTCAATTACTCTTCAAATATTTGCGGTTAAATATTTTTTGAGTCACCCATATTGCGCATGCATGTTCAATTAATTTTGACTGCACTCGCTAAACAAATTTATGCCGATTGCCACAGCGCCAATTAAAAGGCCCACAATCAAACTCTCGTCTAGGGACCAGAATCGGAATCAAAATCGGAATCAGGAGCTCCAACGCAATCCAAAACCCACACTGACATTTCGACAACGCCCCCGCGAAACGACAATTTTTATGGCAGCGCCAATTGGAAATTAATTAAGAAACGTCCGCTGAAAGTGGAATGCCGAAATTCAATTATGTGGGAGGTGGTGGTGTATAAAGTATTCCAAAACTAAAATATTTATTGCACTTGAAATTGTCATATTCAATTTTTGAAGTTGACCAAAATAAATTCGACAAAATACTACAGCACAAGTGAGTGCCTGAGTGACTGCTTTTATTAAAATTCGCGCTTGGTATTTCTTTTTGTTCTATTTCCATTTATGTTCCTGTTTGAAATTCCCATTCTCTCAAATATTCAAGAAATAAACACTTTAAATGGTGATTAACAACAAATAAATTTGTCTATAGTACTGATTTAAATTATTAGTTCACTATCTATGCAATCATAATTAATAGTCAATAATAAGAATAATTTGAATCCAATAACTAACTGAATGCATAGCCATAATAATGTTTTTCCTTTGTTATTTTAGTAAAATTCAGCTGCAGCTGACTACTGTTTTATAAAAACATTGTATATATGGAAAAACTGAAACACAATTTATGGTTTATGGGGCGGGCAACCCGCTGTGCAGCATGAAGCTGCAATTAAATCGTTTTAAATTGCTCAGCTCAGCAGACAAACTTGTGTGCAATTTTGCTTGGCATTCCGCCACTCCCACAACTATGAAACCAGTGCGAAAAGAATTTGCTTAGCTTAGATACGAGTTCCCAAGGGACTGGGCGTGGCATTTGCCATTGCTTTTGCTTTTGCGTTTGCTGCATTCAAGTGTCGCCCGGCGGTATGCTATAATTTTTTTTTGTGGTCGAGCTCCCGCTGCTGCTGCTCTTGCCAATTTGCAATTCTGATTTATGAATTCGCACAGCCAGTGCACTGGAGGGGATATGTAGTGCGGTATTAGCCCGTCAATTCGCGATGACAGGCCGCAAATTGGCCAAACGATTTGGACGACTTCTATGTGCCGGAGGGCAAACAGGTGTAAAAACAATTTCCGCTAATTGAAATTAATTTTCATGGCTGCAACTGCACGGAGGTCTCTTTTTCGGAGGAGGGTCCGGATCTGAAGGGACGCGGCGAAGGTGAAAGTCGGGAATAGTTGGCACATGCGCCATAAACAAGTTGTGATTACGTGATTTGGCCATATGCCAGCAGCCAAAGGAAGAGTAAGGACAAACAGAAAAAAATATATTCTCTGGGGTCCACTTAAGACAAGATTCCTTAATTTACATTTTTTTAATGATTCTAGTTGGCGAATATATATTATGCATTTCCTCTAGGATGGCAAACTAACAAATCGACTTAAGAAATTTGGTTTAAAATGTAATTTAACGAAGTAACTTGTTTAATTAAGTGTGCAACAATTGTATATTTTGTTATCTATTATTAAGTTAATGTTATTAAAATTATACCATAAAATTGGGGCTTTCATTTAAAATAAATATTCAGCAAAAATAGTTGATCATAAATAGTGTTAGCTCATAAATAGATAGAATCATACAAAATTATTTTAACTTTATCTAATTTTCTTATAATACTTTATGTATCGTATTCAAAAACATTAAGATATTTATATTATTACTGATTATTATTGAAGTATAACTACTATTAGAAAGCACACCATTTGGATTTAAATTTGGGTATAATACTTATTATAAATAAATAAATATATAAATAAGTCAGCTAAGGGGGCCACCTGAAATAACCTTCTAGTGTCACCGAATACATAAAGTTGTTTGCTGCATGTTACTTTCAGTGTGGATGGGTACTAAACTATTGCGATGCCAAGTTTTTTCCAGCTTCGCCCTGTTTTTGCTGCCTGTTTTCTGCCTGGCTGGGTTCACCTGGCCTCACCTTGACACTCGCTCAACTGCAGCTAATGCGCTAAGGATGCGAGAATGTACACATCTCTGAATGGGTGTATCTGAATCTGTATCTGTATCTGAATCCGGGCGAATGTCCCTGTCGGCCATTCTGTATTTCAATTAACCAGATTTCGGGTGTAGTTGCTGCCGTGTCGTGTTCATGTTCCACTTCCTGTCACCTGCTAGTTGCATGTTTGCAGTTACAACCCAATTGGCCAACTATCTTGACTTTGCTTTTGGGACTGCAGCTCAAATCAAACATCACAAATCACAGACCGTTGGCACACAGGCCGCATTTCAATCCCAAATTGGATTTGTTGAGGTTGCTGTCAGCCTCTTTATTTAACTCTATTTTGACAACTTGTGTATGCAAATTTTATGGGCAAACAACAGGACGATATTTTATCATTTCCCAGCTGTTGAATATTTATATTTTCTGGCAATTATTTTAATTCTGTTTGCAGAGCAATCAAAACCATATTTTGAGTCGAAACTGCCTTTGTAAATTGCGCAAAATCATGGACAAGCGGATAGAGAAATGCCACTCATAAGAGGATTGGAATTTATTATCAACTGTTTTAATATACATACATGTTGCAGTAGGGTGGCTTAAATATTAAAGTTATTTAAGCTTTTAGCTTTTATGGCAATGCAGATGTGGAATATGTATATCAATAAATAAAATATAACAAATGGATTCGTATTTGATAAATTTGTTGGCCATTTTAATTGATTAAATCTTAAAAAGAATTGGGAAATCTTAGAGAATTACTCTTATTACTGTTTAAATCAGAATGTAATACTAATTAATAAGTAAAACAATATATTATTTATTAGTTTCTATACACAGGTCAAACAAAGCATTGAAATTTCGGGGGCATTATGTTGTAAAACAAGAGACATAATAGGAAAACCACACATGTCAGTTCATACATTTGAGTGAAGATGAGTCCTGCGTTCCTAAGGCGTGTCTCAGGATGTAATGTCCTTTGGGCCATGGCAACATAATGAGCTAAAAATAGCAAAAGCCGACCAGACGGGGAGCGAGCGAGACAGGGGGTTGGCGGTGGAAGGGAGAGACAAGAGCGCTTTTCATTAGACAAATGTTATTTCGCACACACGCACAGAATGAGGGACAAAGCTCGGGCGTGAAACAATCAAACAATGCAACAAAGCCGCACAACAACACACAGACGCACACACGCACACTCACACTCACACACACACACACAAAATGGTTAACAATTAAACAATGAGAGAGCAACAAGCAAAGCAATTGCAGAAGGAGAGGCATAATAAGGAGTGCCGCTGACAGGCTCGAGGACAAATTGTTCGTCGGTCTCGAACTCGCACCCGCAGCATTCCATTGTCCCGCTTTGCTTAAGTCAGCTCAAGCTGCTCTTCCCACCCACTGGACCACCCACTGGTCCACCCAACGCCCCCTACTTTGCAAACCCCTAACCCAAAAAAAACACCGAAAAGCCAACAAATCAGACAACATCGCTTGAAATCGCTTCCCTTGTGCCTTTGTCGGGACATTTTTGGCTAAAAGCTTCGAGTGCCAGTCCCAAAACACTTTTCCAATTAGGCTTTTCTAGATAAATTCAGCCATTTATATAGATACCTACTCTATGTAAATACAGTGGACTCTAGGGTTTTATACTGTTTAGAAATAGAAAGTTTAATTTTATTCTTTTTTAAGCATCCAATTAATTACATTTATTCAGTTGAATAACTTTTTATTTAAATGTCTTTACTCTATCTGTATTAGTATATAAGGATTGTAAATATAATCAAACAAAAATTAGTTCTTTATTTTCTGCTTAAAAACATTTATTTTTCCTTAGACTTTAAATGTTTGTTGCTACTGCTTTAGCTAAACTTTTTCCCAACATTTCGGAGTTCATAAAAATTACATTCTTTTATTTTCGGGCAAAAATTAAGTACATGCAAATTCCAATTTCCCAGCTAACACTGTATAATGAAAGAGGAATACAAAATTGTAAAGTAGAGACAGCACTGTAATGGCTGCGCTATTTTTTGGCAATAGGGAAGGAGTGGGTGAAGGGTGCCTGCAAAACCCTTACAAGGACGCGGACATTGTTGTACAACAATCATTTTAATCACTTTTCAGGGTCTGGCGCCGCACTTTGTTGTTCCTTGCTTTTTTTGCCGCATGGCCCAAATTCTTTTTTTTATTTCTTGTGGAGAGTGTTTACATGCACAATTTACTCAAGTGCTGCTAGTGTTTATATCATTAAAAACACGACCTTAAAATCCCATTTTTGAATAGATTTTCTAGATTGTTGAAAGGCTGTCTAACGATTTGATTGCTATCTCTTTGATATA